TTTTTGTATTATTTAAAAAAATAGTGCGACCCACCAAAAGTATAATCGCGACCCACTTTTGGGTCGCGACCCACAGTTTGGGAACCTCTGGCTTAGAATATTATATTATGTCATTATGAATATATAAAAATTATAATTATTAAATGCTAGTATTTTCGGTTATTACCGGGGTAGGGTATTTTCGGTAATAATTGTAGTTACCGAATCATGGTATACCGTTATTCTGAAAAACCGACAATACCGGATACCGTACCTGTAGATAAATTATCGTTATTTGTTTGTTCCACTTATTGTATGTCAGAGGTCAGTTAACAACAATATCATACACGATACACAATAGACAATAATTACAGCTGACTCAATTTGTTTCTTATACTATAAATTATATTAACCAGCGAATAGTGTTAAAATTTTAAAATGGAAGAATGTCGTCATAAATTAATGCGAGTTTATGTGAGTGGTGTAGATAAACGAAAATTTGCAAAAGAAAATGATAAAAAAATACGGAAATAATTTCAAAAACTAGGCGAATGACAGAGTTTTTCATAACACAGCCAAACACAACTTCTTCTTCTTCTGAGGTTAATTACTCTATACTTGATTTGATTGTTTTTATAATTATTTATTATTTAATAGTAGTTAATTGTTACTTCTACTCAACATAATAATAAATATTATTTAATAAGAAAAAAAATATATTTCTTTGTTTATGTATAAGGGGCCCCCACAATATATTCCGCCCAAGGGCCACCACAGACCTAAGTCCGCCCCTGATGAAATCATCATTACGCGAACAATGAATCTGAAGGTTAGAAGTACGATATAATATCAGCATATTATATAAATTATGTATGTCTACGAATATTATATATTTATTTTGCTTTTAGGTAGTAATACGGTGGTCGTAGGTTGAGTTAATTTTTGACACAAATGAATTGCGTATCTTTATATTATATATAATTGTTGAGTGTGCCTTGTTATTAGTTTGATGTAAAGTGATCGTGTAACTTTTGAATGACTTGACGGTTTTCAATTATTAAGTAATATCAACTATAGATTCCTTCATTAGACTTGGATGGTATAAACATACTTTATGTCTTTATAGCGTATTTTTCAAACCCTCGGCTCACGAAAAATTAATATTTTTTGTTACTAATTTTTAGGGTTGCCATTGGTTACATGGCATAATAATAATATGTACTATTATGATACGACGTGTTTTCGTGAAATATTATTATTATTATCTAAATCAGTTTTTGTAATTGTTGATTAAAAACATCGTAATAACAGTATAATAACAATCAACGTAATAATATTATGATATTATATTATTAATGGTATACGGTATACTTATCTACAATATTACAGGTACACTATGTATATTATGTCCGCCGCCGTCTTACTCACCGCCGAACTGCCGAAGACTCAAAGTCCGTCAGGCTCACACTCTCGGCCGCTATCGCGCACACGCACGCGCACACGCGCACTCGCGGCGTGCCCGAGACCAAAGTGCTGATCCGTCTGAACCTGCGGCAATGGCGTGCCCCGCGGCTGTCCGGTTGTCTGCATCATTCCACTTCGTCTGGTTCATAGCTGTTCACACCGGTCACTGTTCACTGCTCAGTTTCCGTCACGCCACTCGTGCGAACGTTTTTATCGTTTTTGTAACAGGTATGACGGCAAGTAAATTGTGACCTGTGCGCGCGGTCGTTGTAGTGCCCGTTCTATATACGATATAATAACGAAATATTATAGTCATCGCAGTATTATTACAATTATTAAATCGAAACGCTTTTCTCGTCGCTGACAACACCGCGTGCCTACCCGACGTATTATAATATTGTCCACGGTAATCGGTTTGGTTTCAGTTTTTAGTTTTTAGTCATTTTATATATAGTTACGGCGTATTCTATGAAAACGGCGCGCTATTTCATTCCGTAGTTTTTATCGGCACTCACCTTCAAACCTCTAAACTAACTATACACGTCATCGTATAGAAATAAACTCGGCCGGCCACGTCTTGCTCGAGTCCATCACGATGGCCGTGCTGGCTGGAGCCCGCGACAACGTGGTGTCCATATCGGCGGCCGAGTCGATGAAAATGTTGGCTTTCTCCGTGGTTTGGGGCTCGTGGATCGTCGTCAAGAACGCGGCCGTCCGGGCGGTCAGCCCTCTCTGGTCGAACGGCGGTGGCCACGGGGACGACGCCGATGGCGACGACAGAGAGGCCGGCGCCGAGGTCACTGACAAAGACGCCGTCGCCACTACTACCACCGTCGCCATTTCCGGTGGCAAGGCTTCCCGTCGGACGCCCAGGGACCGTCCGCCGCCGTGTCTGTCCACCACGGATTACGGTACCCACTCGTACGTCAAAGTCAAGGTTCCATGTTACTGCAATATCATATAATACTATAAATAATATTGTGTCCTCTAACTCATAAGTCATAATTATCGCGTATTTAATGGGCTAATAATGTTACAAAATTTCAAAAATGCTTTAAAAATGTGTTCAACTTAATGTTGAGCAAACGTCTATAATTATTGAAACATTTAATTTTACGTAATTTTTCGTTATCGCGATTGACGCAAGTCATAAATAAAACGACCTGTCTATATTTTACCTAAACACGTTATACGTATAGGTAATAAATATCTGCCGGCACGTGACGACAATTTCGTTGTGCAGTTGTCATTTTGTCTGATATTATATAGATTAACACGTACGTAATAAAAATAATACGCCAAAGTAAAATAAATGCTTTAAAAAAATTCATTTTTAAGTTTTTTGATGTATGAAACAAAATATGTTATGCTTAGAAAGCTATGTATTATAGGTCATTAGCAAAAAGTACAATCTGAATTTGAATCTGCTTCTTGTAGTCATATAAATCATAAGACATATCTCAATATAATGATATACTTAACTTATATCTCTACTTATTTATGAACGATTTTTTTTAGACTTAGCGATTTATTGATAAGGTGCCTCAACAATTATATACACTCAAAAGTTATTAAAATAATTGATGGTAATACAAATCGTACCCATACTTCGAAAATTGTATTTTCTTGCTTAAAATGTGGCATTAATTTCATATAGAAAGTTTTTGAAAATATTTCTTATTTGAATGATTTTAAGTTTATTGAATATTTCATAGTAGTGGTACGTGGTAGTTGTTACAAGAATTGTCGGAAATATTCTTAAAACTATTTCTTCATTACTTAATTAGGATTAATTTCTTATAGGTTTTGTCTGGGATTAATTGGTATAGATAAACACGAATAGAGTAAAGACAGTTACCAGTGGCGTTTTCAAATGATAATATATATTATCAAAATCATACTGTGGAAGTTCTAGTGGTATTTGGTTTGGAGTGTAGACAGTTTTTTAAAAAACATTAACCTCGTGCGTTCTGGATAAAACTGTTAGATTTCTAATTTTTTTTTGCTCTACCAGCCATGCTCCTGAGGATTATTTAGAAACCATTATTTTAAATTGTAATAAAAAAACCTAAAAATAACCATGGGAAATATGAATATTAGTGGGTATAATACTGATAGTCGAGATAAAAATTAAAGTTTTAAAGAATTAAAGAGAGCTGTACTCCATTCCAAAGGAATCTACACTAATTTACTATTTTTCACTTTGCACCCGATCACCATTATCTATGCTATTTTGTGGGAGGTGTGTGCTACCGGAAGAAAACCAGCAAATGCCCGGTGACTTCTCTCTTGAAATGTAGGTAGGAGTTAGTGCAATAGTGCTTAGTATAGTACATAGACACATAGTATATAGTATAGATATTAGATACAATAATATATTCTGTACACATATGCACAATTATATACAGTCGATATCTTTGAGCGTGTTAAAACTATTATATAAAATATGTATAATATAGTCGTGGTGGATATTTCGAAATTGATTAAAAATATGTAAAACTATTCGTGCTCTGATATTGGTTGTCGGATACTACATCACTTTCAAGAACGGGCATCCCACTAACTACCATCAAAATAATTATGCTTGTCGCTAAGGTCATTCAAGAATTCGATTACCAATAGTACACATTGATTATTGATATACTATGTCTATGTGTAATGCCATAATAGTGTATTAGTGTGCCAGCAGACAGCATGTTATAGTCTATAGTCATTAGTCTGTGACTTTATTTTTGTTTTATTTTTGTAGGTACACAAAAACACACACGTTTGTTAATCATTTATGCCGGATAAGTGAAAACCGTAACTTACAAAACAATTCGAGCTTTTAAAGAAATATTTACGACCCAAATTGTACGTGGTCGATTTCAATAATAGAAATATAGAATATTACGTATTTGGCTTTAGATACTAATAATGTATCTTATACATACTTTAAGTATCGTTCAATTACCAATATACCTAAAATCGACCATCGATGTCTTACGGGTTGTCATATGCAAATAGTTCGAAACTTCAAATGTTTACATATTACACTTCTATTCAAATATAAAATATTTATACATAGGGTTCTCGATTGATTAAAAGTCCGAATGTGAACTGTGAAGGCATTATAATATTATATAAAATCGATTATTTATCACCTAAACATTATAATATAGCCTTGTTTATTGCATTATTTGATACCTCATTGGAACAATAACCCTAAAAATGTATATATTCGATAGTTGGTTTTGCTTTCAAATGTACCTACAATTCAGAAAGCGTATTTTTGTATAATATATACATATGTATACAAACGGCCGATGTTGTGATAGATATAAATGAATAAATATATTATGAAGTACTACAGCTACTTAATACTATGCTATTAATACATACTATTAAATATTGATCAATCATCAAATTTAATTACCTATCTAAAAAAAATTTTTTTATCATCATCTATCACACCTTAATGTTATTGTACCAGCCATTGGCTATTTACTATAGTATCGATTTATCCATGTTCCGAAATTTAAAAGTGGTTTTTTAAAAATAATTATTTTCTATAATACATAATGTTATTTGTCTACAGCAATATTAAAATGTTAAGAAATCGTTTTTTATCACTGTGCTCGTATATGTTTCGTATTTTATTCAAATCAAATAATTTAAAACACGTTTTGTCTATAATACAAATATTATTTTTGAAATTCTTTCAGATATTTATTTGAATTCAAACACAGGCACACGTATTACGACTAACTACAGTTATTATAATTTTTAGGGTGTTAAATTTCATTACGTTGAATGTGGTGACCCCAAAGGTACGATTGTTCTTTTGCTACATGGATTTCCTTCATGTTGGATTAGTTGGCATCATCAAATTCCCACCTTGTCGAAACATTTTCGGTAAGTAACTAATAAATAATTATTATCTGGACATTGGAGGCATTTCTAAGTATGACTTATAATGCATTAATACATATCAACAGTTATATTATCTGTTATAGTATTTTATCTACTGAAGCTGTGATTTGTTATTAACAGCGCTGTGCGTGTCTTATTAATTAACTAGTTACTATAAAGATTATTTAATAACTTTAATTAATTTATAAAATTATAAAATTATAACTTCACTATATACTTGTAGATTTTTAAAATATTTTTTTGATACGTAGCGTGTAGATGCATATACATTTGTATATTACAAGGTCATAAACTTTATAACAGATAACAGGTTTCCTAATTAATCATAGATAGGATAAAGAAAATATTTTATTAAAATTAAATAATATACCTATAAGCTACCTAAAGATCTAAGTATCTCTATTGTGAGGTATGCTCATTCTTAATAAGCTCGTGCTTATTAAAAATAGTGTATTTATAAATATGTTATAATAATATGTTTAATGCGTTCAATTTAGTATAATTAATATGTAAGTATAGGTATACGTATACCTTTATAAAAGACTGAAAGTTCTTAATGAAATTTGCTGCATTATTAATATAATTTAGATTTATAATTTTATACTAGTTAATCAAAATTTGGCCTTTGAGTGACTACTGACCAACTGTATATTGTATTATATAAATATATAATAAATCAATATGACAGTTGATTTTAATAAATTTAAGCATATAGTTAATTATTTTTCCAATAATAATAATAATATTAATAATAATAATAATACGATTATAAGAATATTCTTCTGAAAATTACTTATGTTATTTTAATTAAATATATTGTTTTGTTAATAATTAATTGATGTTGATAAGACAGCGTAACAATAAATTAATCCAGGTTATTAAATTCTTATGATATTTTGGAAGACCCATAGGATTACCAAAAGAAATAGATGAATCCGAAAATTCATAAACCTAAAACTGTACATCCCTATATGATTAATATTTATTATATTATGCAATAGCAGGTAAGTCAAAGATTTAATGATTTAAACATTCGTACGTATGATGTCAAATCAGTAACGCTAACATTATAGGAATGAACAATACAAAATACCTTTCTTTGTCAGGTTTAATCATTAAAAATATAATAATTAAAAAGTTGGACAAGTTGGTACTGCTCTGCTGTACTGTAGTTATTGAGTATGTCATTGTAATGCATATGTGTTATAAATTATAATGTTATATTTGAATTTCATGATAAATTATTACATAAAATGATTCTAAGCGGAGACGCTGTGTTATCCCAGCATTATACTTGTATACATAATCAAATTTAATAATTAAAAAAAAAAAAATTAGTAAAAATTGAAAATATTTGATTTCTTTACACAGCGTAACATTCCAGTGAACTCTTTGTTTGTTAAATTTAGAAAGACTTGTGTTAACATTTTTAATGTTAGCTATTAAACGAATAACATTTTTTATACATTATTCTAACTGAAAAATAATTAGCAAATGTTCAGGATTTTGATGAATTTTGTTAAAATATGATCTTTAAATGCATATATAAAATAATCAAGTCTCTGTATCTTTAATATCTTTGAACTATTATTGAAGTAACTTATGAGGATCCTTGCATTAAATTTTCATGCTTTTTTACTGAATGAAATATTTGTTATCGCCAATAGTTTTAAAAAAATGTACAAAATTCGAAAAATGGCTCAAGGCTAATAGTTCAAAAAATTCAACGTATTTCGAAAATGTTGCAGAATATGGGAAATTCTAATATATATATTTGGTTAAAGTTTCTACAGTTATTAGTTTTTGAGTTACACCAATGGGCAATGAGTGTTGAATCCAATTTGGGTTAGCCCGCAAAATCTACCTTTTTTTGGTAAACCCGACGCTATCGTTAACTACTGAACATTTTCAATGGTGACCTCTCAAATAAACCAACTAGATTCACTATCCTATCAGAAAAGATGTTAACATCGAAAATCCTGGCATTTTAACAATCCCAAATGTTGATGACAGAGGAAAAAAAACAAGCTTAAATCAAAATTCGTTGGGCTCAGAATCTAAATAAACATTAAAACTAGTATTTTATATTTTTAAATTCTAGATTATTATACTTGGTTAAGATGTTTATTTAAAAAAAAATAAATTGAAACATAAAATACCTTACAATGAGATTCAGGAGTATCAAAATATTCGGAGGAACGAAAGGTTGCAATAGGACTCAATCAGGAAACGTCCACAATTTGGAGGGGGGCTGGGAGAGCTGAGTCGCCCAATTCCAGAACAATATGTTGTTCATAAGTTTGCATAGCATAAATAGCTTAAAATGAGTCTAAATATTTTAACGCACATACAAGCGTTTCGGAGCGAGATGGTAACGGCATTGCGCTCTACCGGTCTGTCGTGAGAAGGTAGTGACGACCGAAGTCACGGCTAGAGAGCGATGTCAAACTTCTGCCGACTCTCATCTGTTGGAATAAATGCCCAACAGTGAGTTTATATATAACCGAACTGTTACGAAGTTATCAGTGTGGTGCTCTGAGTAGTCGACGTAACCCAGCGACATGTTGCACCCATCCAAGCACTTAATAATGCTTGGATGGTTACTGTTACCTAATATTATAATGTTCACCCATAATTGGCAAAAACTCTTCATTCACTTAGATTTAAGTCAGAATGCACGCTCCACTGTGCACGATTGGGTCACGCCCAGCACCGGAGTTAGTGTATTAATGTACAACTATCTTAGATTTCACCTCACGCCAAAAAATTTTACCCAAATTTTCATTTTTTTTTTCAACTCCCCCGTTTTCAGCCGCCTAAAGAGGTGAAATAAATCACACTATAATCGTCTTTCTTATAAATATAGTCTTACCATATTTTAATATTTAATTTATACTAACTATTAAGTAAATACTGAATGTCGCATGGAATGGTTTAAACGGGTTCGTGATACAAATAGCAATTAATATGAGTTTAAATATTTTAAACACGCATTATTTACCACCCACGCACTTGTATTTTTCAGTCACCATAATGGAAAATAGTTCTTGAGCAGACCAATATAAATCGGAGAAATATAAAAAGAGAACTGTCATCTTAGTTAGTCATGTTTTTTTATTAAATATAATAACAAAATAAAATACTTGTTTATCCATAGTCACAGTCCCTTCACGTCATATAACGTCCCGTATCCATGATAGTTAAGTATACTTATAGTCTACATCTACTGTTAACGTTTCGTATGACGTAGTCAAGCTTTGATATCGTATTTGAAAACTTAACATTATTGAAATATCGCGAGTCGAAAGTTTGCTTATTTTTTTTTTTTATGTCTTTACCGTCTGATACACATTCACAGACAAAAATACTATTTCTAATGTGTATAAATATTAAATATTTCAAAAAATTATCGATGGATTCATCTAATCCGGAAATAACCACATTTTTTAAACAGACACAAGCAAAAACTGCTGAAGCGTGTAGTGTAAGTGAAAAACCCGTGAAACGTATCCACCCAAGTGAGTGGGAGGTAAATAATGTGTATGTGTAAATAGCTATTTGTACCACGAATCCGTTTACACCATTCCATACGATATTCAGTATTTACTTAATAGTTAGTATAAATTAAATATTAAAATATGGTAAAACTATATTTATAAGAATGACGATTATAGTGTGATTTATTTCACCTCTCTAGGCGGCCGAAAACGGGTGCGTTGAAAAAAAAATGAAAATTTGGGTAAAATTTTTTGGCGTGAGGTGAATCTAAGATAGTTGTACGTCAATACACTAACTCCGGTGCTGGGCGTTTGCTTGACCCAATCGTGCACAGTGGAGCGTGTATTCTGACTTAAATCTAAGTGGGTGAGGAGTTTTTGCCAATTATGGGTGAACTTATTATTAGGTGGTAACAATGACCTTACAAGCTTTATTAAGTGATTGGGTGGGCACGATGTCTAGGTTACGTCGACTACTTAGAGCACCTCACTGACAACTTCGTAACAGTTTGATTATATATATATTTGCTGTTAGGCACTTATGCCAACAGATGAGAGTCGGCGGAGGTTTGACATCGCACTCTAGCCGTGACTTACGGTCGTGATTACCTTTCTCACAACCGATCGGTAGAGCGCAGTGCCGTTACCATCTTGCCCCGACACGCCTGTGTCCGTTTAGTCAAATTGTTTGTGTATGGTTAAAATTAAAAAAATATTTAACGGCATTTTATGTTTTATAATGCATCTGTTTGCGAACTATTATGACGACGAAAAATCACATATTACCCAAATGTACCTACATGACGTATATTTATGTAATAGTTTATTGTCTGGCTAGGGTGGGAAGTGAGTTCTTTCAGTCGGGTGGAGGGGCTACAAAAAATCCGAAAGTATTTCATCCGACAGTATTTAATCTGAACGATAATACATCATCAGAATCATATTTAATCCGAACCATGTTTTATTCTAACCGTATTTTAGCCGACAAGTACTTTAGTCGACAAATACTTAGTTCGATCCATTATTCAGCCGAACGGTAAATATGCATGGTAATATTATTGTGATCCAGTGATACCAGTGATACAGCAGTATCGCCAACGTGTAAAAACATCGTTATTATTTACAGTGATGCCCGAATCGCTGCGCTATGCTCATACAAAAAAAATTGAAAACATCCTTCGACTTGCTATGCAACACTACCTCAAGTTGGTCACGATATTAATTGTCAGCTAAATTATATCGTTCTATCAAAATATTTTTCGGCTGATATAAGGTTCGATTAAAATACTTGTAGACTAAAATACGGTTTGCTACTATGCTTGACTATTATTTTTCGGTCGAAATACGGATCGGCCGAAATTATTTCTTCAATTTTATGTGCTCCCAATGGCGTGTGCTGCACGAGTTACAGGCGACGACCGCATTTCACCCAAAACTAGAATTTCTTTGTTATACTACCACAAACATACTATTTGTTGTGACTTATCTGCGTTCATCGATCACGGCAAAGGTAATTGAGGGATTTATGCAATAACCACACTATTCTACGATAGCAATATTTCATGAAAGAAAAATATTTGAGCGTTAGGTATGCAAGAAGGTTATAATATGAACATAAGATGTAACCAAAAGTTGATGTTGTGTAAGGACCGAGGTATAGATTTCAGTGTCTAGTTGTGCAGAGGATACGCCCGGTACTTTTTTAGATTTCCACTTTTCCACCCGTCACTTTTTGGGATTTTCATTTATCGCCTGGAACTATGGGGCTTCCAGCTTTATTCACAGCTCAACGGAAAAAGGTCACTTTCCAAAGCATTCAATTTCAACCATCATCCAAAACTAAACTTTTGGTGCAGGCGTGACAAAAAATTGTCTAATTTAATACAATATATGTTTGTTAAGCCATCATAAGAAAAAATTTTAAATTGCGCCTTTATAATACTCTAATAGGTTATCTAAATAATTATGATAACCCATAGCCGTATAAATAATTAAATAAAATGTTAAAAATAATATTGTTCTATAAAACATGGTTCATCGTAATATATATTTTAATCTGTGCATAATGCATTTGTACAAACAATATATATTATTTTTTAAATTTTTATTGCTATAACTATTATTATACATGGTCACCAAAATTGTAATTAATTTATACCATTCTAACATTTTAAATTTCTTCAGAGATTTAAGAATAGGTATTGCGTATTTTAATTAAAATGTGTAATATTAAATAATAGGTATGTAGTATACGTTTATAGTCTTAACAATTGATGAAAGATGTGGCACCAATAATTATAGATATTTTGTAATTCACAGTTATTGTATTTCAGAGTGATTGCTGTAGACCTTAAAGGTTTTGGTGACTCTGATAAACCTTCAGCACGCAAAAGTTATCGAGTTGAAAGTCTGGTCAACGAGCTGGCCGTGTTTTTGTCAATGCTAGGAGTGGATGACCTTAATAAATGCCACGTGATCGGTCACGATTTAGGCGCTCTATTGGGCTGGTATCTGGTACATCTGTGGCCCAACTGTGTGTCAAAATTTGTAGCCATTTCATGTCCACATCCTAATGTTCACTGGGAGTACTTACCTCCTTCAAGTTTCTTTAACAAAAAGTAAGTTTATCTTAAAATGTCAAAAAGATCAGATAATTTGTGAGCCATGTTTGTGAGTAGAATAAAATATGTAAACAGTTTAAACGAAGGTAACCCATTTTAAGGTGATTAAGTTATTCCTGATAAGCACGTCCTGAGTTTGATCTATACTCTTAATTATCGATTAATAGGTTCTTTATTTGTTTGTTTAGTTTTTTTTTTCACGACTAATACTAAATATTGTAACAGAATCATCTAACTGTTTACCATACGCGTTGGGACTTTTAATTGTACACCTATAATCTATACTTTTATGTTTAAATATTAAAATATATCCTGAGTACTAAAATTCTTCTAGTAGTTCAAATTGAGCAATGTACATTTAAAATACAGTAAAATTTGCTGTAGAAAATAAGGGGATGAATCAATGACAACGATTCAACTAAATGTTTATACTTTTAATCTTGTTTCAGAACGACTTAATCAAGTGCAATATTATGTAGGTCTTTACCAAGGTATAGTTAAATTTTAAAAAAGTTTCCTAGGTAGTAGGTATAGCCAAAATCTAACAAAATAAAAATAAAAATACTCACTGTAAAGTACAAATCCAGATTTTTGTAAATAGTAATGATAAGAAGTCAATGGTTTTATCCAGAAATTTGTTTTTATTATATTATAGTTGGATTTGCTTCAGTCAACTTCCTTATTTACCAGAAATGGACGCTTTGCAAAGTGATCTAAAAATAATCAACCAGTGTTATCAACACCTATCTAAGAACAAGCAAAGCGATGACTCATCTTACATCGACGCATATAAATATACGTTTTCAAGAACAGGTAATAATAATTTCATACAATTAATAATGGTTATTAGGTATAGACTTCATTTAAATTTAAAACTTTTTAATTAAACCCTCTTATTGTAAATAAATTTAATATTACTCTAGCTGTCTAGCATATTGAAATTGTTGTGTTTTTTTTTAGAGGATTGGACGGGTGCTATAAATTATTTTAGAAACTTACCATTCTACAGAATTGAGCCTCGAAGTAATACTGACTCTTTAAATAAAGAAGAAGACATGCTTCAAGTTCCGTGTTTACTCATCACTGGTAGCAAAGATGCAAGCGTGCAAATGGAGAGTTTTATCAAATCCACAGAGTTTCTAAAATCATCTACTCTAAGAATAATTGATAATGCCTCTCACTTTCCCCATCAAGAGCAACCCAAAGTAGTCAATGATCTATTGACATCATATTTAGGTAAGTTTTAAAATTATTATGACACTTATAATTTGAATATAGGTAATTAGAGAGTATAATAATATATTATAATATGTGTGTAACTGAATATGTTTATAAATATAGAACAAATATAAATATACAGCCATATAGGTGATTGCCAATAGGTATACCTATGTATACCGGTTGGGAATATAATTATATAAAACAATATTTAAGTGTGTGGTCTCCGAAATAAGTAGGTACCTACTTTACTTGCGACTTTCAAACATCACTCATAACACCTACCCCTCAACCATTAAAAACATTTATGAGAATTTACCCAAGTTGGTACCCAAGATTGTTGACACCGTACATGGTCGTAGGCCGTTTGGGCGAATAATAATGAATAGGTTTATAGGTGAATTAATTTGTATATTGTATAGTAATGAACACTGTAAATTATTGAAAAATATAGCCATATACAAAATACATAATACATTTAAAAAGATATTGAGGTATAGGCGGTATAGTAATATTGTAATACACAGTCAACATTAATAAATATTTTACAATTAATGTAATTAAATCATATGTGATGATACCATAAGTATAAATGTAATGTACCCTATTTTCTAAAAAGTTCGCATCAATGTCACCAGGTTTTGATCTTACTTATAAAAAAATGGTTAAAAATAATTTCGCTCGCTCAAATGGTTAGCTTAGGTTAACGGTATAAATGATAGTCGTCCAAATGAACTATTAATTATTTAGTCAAAATAATTACTTCGCTCACACCACCCCTGTACAACTGTATCCACCTATCATCACTGCAATAATATGATGGTCATTAAACTTATAACTTAATTAACGATTTAGCTATTGTCTTAAATGTATAGGTTTATTATATGGTAAAATGAGTATGTTGTATGTATTATATTTGAGTAATTATTCTAAATAAATGTATTTCTGTCACAGTTTGTGCAAAAGCAGTTCAAAAAGAGCTTTCACCGCAGTACTCTGGTGGTATAGTTGGACGAATGAAAGATATCGTTTCGTCTACCGTCCAGTATGGAAATACGTTGAAAGATTCAGTGCAGAAGAGAAACATTTTACCAATTAAAGCCATGACGCGGACGTCATCATGGCAGAACTAATCTTTTGCCATTTGAAAACAATAATGTTCTTTTTTATGTAAATATATTTATTGTATCAACATCGTACTAACAACAATAAAAGAAATTTTACTATCTATAATATTTATTATACCTACCTTTAATTGTTTACAAATAAAATAATTTTAAATAGTATGTTGCAGTGCACAACTTACTGTTCATGCGTATTATGTATTTATTTATACGTTATGATGGGTGATAAAATCGTTCACATCACGTGTGTACCTAGGAACTTAATTAGTCTTATCTACAGTGTTATTACACAGAACAAACAGAAGGGAATCTTAAGGCTCATCGAAAAACCGTCCGACATTTCTGAATTTTAAACGTGCTGCCACATACCGAGAAATTCCTTTTTTTTTAAGTTTTCTGTGGTTTGTGGCTACGCTGTTAGTCGGCAATTCCACTCATAACAACAACAACACATGTCCAACCATAGATAACATAGATTATAAATCGATTTGATTCACGATTATAGATAGTACTATCTATAATCATGGTTTGATTATTTGAATATAATAATATATTAAAAATTTGAACGAACAGTGTTGCACGATATAAAGAAAAAGAGGGAAATTCCCGGTACGTGACAGCACGTTTAAAATCTAGAAATGTCGGACGTAGTTTTATCATCTCCCATAAGAGCCCATGTTAAATGAAATAAGATTCCGTTCTGTTTGTTCTGTGGTTATTAATGTATATTATCAATAAGCTAAATATAAATTTATATAAATTATAATATAATCGTAATAATATGTAACCCGACTAAATTTCAAAAGTTAATAATATGTATTTTATCTGAAAGTTAGGTATTTTTAATGAACGAATTCTTTTAAAGTTGATATTGATATAATTCTGTAAATTACTTTGTTAATGTACCTATACTTATAAATTTGTTTGTATACTGTTGTAGTCCTTAGTGAATATACTTAATCCTTTTCTAAATAAATCAGCTAAATAAATGTTAAAAATATTTTTTTTACTGTACCTACTTGCAATGTTATAACAAATTAGTATAGTATATATTAATATGTATCTGTTATAACTACTGAACGTACATTGTGGTACATTGTGGTTTAAGCCGGGTCCACACTAGGACGAACATTGTTGTCGAACATGTTCGTTGAGAATGTTTCACCTAGTCTGTACGTGTTTCCTATGTTTGCGCATACAATTCTAAAATGTTCGCTCAACAGGCGGTATTTGAACGAACATCAAAGAAAATGTTTGCCAACTCCGTCATCAGTGTAGACGTGTTCGACAACAAATTTGCTATAAACTATAATTTATACATAAAAATATAAAATGTATATTTTATCTTTAAATTGATAAATATTTTTGAATAAATAATTATCTTTTAAAAAGTTCATAGAATGGACTGGTTATTAATCAAGTTTACCTACTTCCCTTTATAGTATAGGTAAACATTTTGTAATATTGTTTTATTCAAAACTTTAAATTTTAATTTTAAATACCGAATGAAGGATTAAAAAATATGTAAATTGTTGTTTTTATTAAAATATTGGACTCAAATTAAATATTACTATTAATCAAATATTACTTCCTATCCAATTATAATGAATTAATTCGGTAGGTATAAACTATATGTAGGTACAACATTTTAAATAGTACATATTTTTTTTTACGTATTGCACATTCTAAGTTTAAGTATTTAGTAATTATTAATAATAAGTTAATAAAATATTTATATTATTGCTGCAGTGGAGAATAATTGTATGTAAGTAAATTGTTTGTGTTTAACTACACACTATTAAATTTAGCTCAATACCGTGCCACTTTCATATATTTTATTCGTACATTCGTACAGGGAAATCCAAAACTGAAGAATGATCCTTTAAATTATTTTTAATAATAAATCTATGTTTATAATGTTTATTTTGTATTTGGGTGCATTTAATTATCAATTCAGTCGTAACTCGTATTTCACCACTGTGTGACCGCCGTGTTGTGTTATAATCAGATCATCTATTAACTTAAAATGTCGACCGAAAAAGACTGGAATCAAGACCAAATTCTGAAACTTATTGATTTAGTACAGCAAAGTGAGAATATTTGGAATCCAAGTCACAAACTATACAGAAATCGAATCCGAAGGACAGATTCAATCAATGAAATTGCCAACATCTTGGGTGTTTCACAGCAAGAAGTTGACAAAAAATGGAAAATTGTACAATCCCAATTTCGTAGGGAACAACATAAAGTAAATAGTAAAAAATCCGGCGCTGGAACCGATGATAATTACTCAAGTGCTTGGTATTTGTACAAGCCATTAAGTTTTTTGTCAGATAGAAATAAACCAAAACCTACTAGAGACACTTATAATATACAGGTAATAACAACATTATTTGAATAATTATTCTAAAAACAATGAATTGGTAGTTTTTAGTGGTTAATACTTAATAGTAAAATAGTTTATAGACAATACTACAGTAGAAAAATAAAAATTAAGCATAGAAGTAGGTAACTAAATACAATTTATTCAAATTCATCTTGCCAATAAACACGCCCTGTAGTTGCAAAATAACGAGCAAATCGTTCACGAGTTTCATGTGCAGCTGCTGTTGATTTTCGTCCACATTTTTTCAATGGTAAAAGTGACGTGGTTTCCGACGAATCACTCCTCCAAGTTCCTTTTTTTAAAGTTCGATTTTCAAAGTCTTCGGTGTCAAAAATATCTGGTGGACAATATAAATTTTTTGACGACTCACTCCGTCTTAAAAAATTATGCAAATGGACGCACGCTAAAACAATAGAATTTATTTTTTCTGGTTGTAGTAATGACGGTTTTCTTAAAACTCGAAAAACTGAAGCCATTATGCCAAAAGTATTTTCTACGACACGTCGTGCCCTTGATAACCGATAATTAAAAGCTCTCTGTGGTGAACCTCGTAAATGAGTCCCAGGAAAAGGTTTCATTAAATTTTCCTTCAAGGGAAAAGCATCATCGCATACAAAAACATACGGAGATTTTTCTTGTTGTCCTGGAAGTGCTTTGGGCGATGGTAGGTTTAAAGATTCATTCAAAATTTTTTTGGCCAATATGGAATTATTAAATACGCCTCCATCTGATATTCTGCCTTGACACCCAATACTTGCAAAAATAAAACAATAATGTGCGTCCACTGCAGCAAGTAAAACAACGCTAAATGACCCCTTGTAATTGAAATATTCAGTGCCACTATTAAAAGGTGCTTGCATTACGATGTGTTTACCGTCAATTGCACCGACACATTGCGGAAAATTCCATAATTCATCATAGTCATTAGCTATTAATTCCCATGCGTTTGATGAATTGGGCATCTAAAAATAATTTTTATTTGTTTATAGTACATTGCAAAATGTTGTTAAAATAATGTTAATAAATCATTATATAATTTTCTGTGTTTCCTCTCCTTCACCACCAACCAAGCAAGAAAAAATTAATTTTATCTTTAATACAGTTCAATAATTGCATTGCTTTATATTAAAAATATACAATTTATGTTGTAAATTGCAGTGGAAAATTCTATATATTTAATATTAGTAGGTACATTTTTTTTAAACAAAATTACAAATTAACTAAATTTTTAGTTTATATAATTTATAATTCCTACTTACAATACAAACAATATTTTAATAAAATTAATGTTACTCCTAAATAATTTATATTATATTATATTGTTATACATTTAATGATTTGTTTATTAATAGTATTAGATTATAAAAAAATGATATTATATTATATTATATTATTCATATAATTATTTTTTTCAGTTCTTATATATTATTTTCTTAAATTCTTAAACTTAATAATGACTCATTATTTTTTATTTCAATTAATTTTAGATTCTGAGCGGAGAGATGTATTGACTTTATAATGAAGTGGTTTTTTTAATTTTTTTATAAATTATCAATAAAATTATAATATAGGCTAAAATGAACATGGAAATGGGTATGCATCTAATTTTACATATATTTACATAAATAGGTATTATTATTGTTTAGGAAGAAACAGATAATGAAGATGTCTTGGAAGATGACTTCATCGTGGTAGATAGTGTTGATGGTGATGGGAATGTTACAGAACGACCAAAGAGATTTGCTTCGCCAAAACAAAAAAAAAAAAAAAATTAAAACAGATGAAGATCCAAGGGTAGATGAGGTTTATTCTATTTTGAAAACGTACTCAGAAAAAAGTAAATTGAAGGACAACGCGACTACTTATGGGGAACACGTCGCTAACAAACTTAGATCTTATTCAGATTTTATTCGTTTAAATACAGAACACAAAATTAACTATATTCTTCACGAATCGGATATGTTAATGCTACAACAAAATAATCAACCTGACTATTCTATACATTTTCCCGGTCCATCTTCAAGTAATAATTCTTTTATTCCTTTACATTCTATTGGTACATCTTCAGGTAATACAAATACACTTTCTCCTTTATCCTTATATTCTGCACCATCTTTTACTCAAAATAATAATTTCAGTCCATTACCCTCCTCCAGCGTACCACTTACACCAACACATGAAACCATTTTAAATACACAAGAAAACGCTTCACCATATTACAATATTAATTAATTTTAAAAGTTATACGACGGATTTTTGCTACCGCTCGCGCTATAGTGAAAGTTAACCACGTGCTTTATTCCAGGTAGGATTCCTTTTTTTTTTTTAATTTTTCTGATGCTGTTTTATTTTAATTAATAATACTAATTTATGTTAATTTTTCATACAAAATCTTATTTATTATTATATAGGTAATATAATTTATGAATAATATACCTATGTCCAAAAGTGATTACAATTATTATTTTTTGTTTTTAATAAAATTTTAGCCATTATTTAATAATTTTTGTTTTTATTTACCTATTATAATAAAACTTTTTGTACCTTTATCATTTATACATATATTTTATCTACATATTATTGGCATTATAATATTATTCATATTATGATGTCAAAATAACTTATATTTAAGTATTTAATATTTACCTGAACGTATGATTTTAGCGCTTCAACAATAGCTTCACACACTTCTGGTACTATATTAGATATTAATTGTTTGGAAATTTTAAAAAGATACATTAAACTTGTATACGAATCACCAGTAGCCAAAAAACGTAATGTTACCGCCAGCCTCACATTTGGTGAAATAGTTTCTCTTAGATGAGTAATATCCTTCCCAATTTGAGGACCAATAACTTCAAGCAATGATTCAAAATCTGTTGGCGACATTCTTATAAAGTTTTTGAATCCTGGATGCTCAAGACTTAAATCATTTAGTAGATCATTGCCATTATAACGACTTCTACTTTCAAAAATTGTACGTTGCCAACAACAACATCTTTTATGAAAAGATTTTTTTTTTTTTGCTTGAGAAACTAAGGATGTAAAAACAAACGCTGCACTTGCAATAATTATATCTTCGTCACTCATATTGAAAAAAAAATTAAAACGGATTTTTTTTTTTTTAAATTGGCAATTTGTTCACTCCGCACTAGATGTAGGTTCCTACTAAAATGAAATAAATAATACGAATGCGAAATCTTTAAGTTGCCAATTTAAAAGGCGGTAAATCTTTGTGTATTTTGAACGAATATTGTTGTCTAACATTTTAAAGTACAGTAGCATTGGTTCGTCGAGCCAGGAAATATTCTCAACGAACATGTTCGACAACAATGTTCGTCCTAGTGTGGACCCGGCTTAATGTAAGACGTAAATAACACCCACGAGTACGACTTCCTCTTAATGCAAGTTATTTTTCATTCCTGCGATGGCCACAATATTTCTCACCGTTCATCGACCAATTTGTTAGGATGCCGAAGTCCGAGTTCATGGATGGCCACGACTGCTCCAAGAGTCCTAGACCACATTAGCTCGGATTGCGGTTTCGAATTTAATGGCCTCAATCGAACACTGACCACATTAGATCCAAGTGCGATGCCTACCTCAGATCAAATTTCTCATCAGTTTTGTGTTTGTCTGGGTAATATCTTAGTAATAATAGCACTTGCTTGATGCGGCCATTTATGCATTTCGCCGGCAGTCACACATCCGGCGACCGGCGCAGGCACTCACCTTCGTTGGAAATTCACTTATTAGAACGATGCGTTTGATTATTGCCATTGGTTACATACTTAGCCCGTTTTATTGTTTGAAAAATAAAATGTATAAATATTGTAATGCAGTAATCGCCGAGTTCCACACAACTCACTCTCGGCCGTTATCACGCGGTCATGTCACACGCACACACGCGGTGCGCCCGAGACCAAAGTGCTGAACCAGCATCGACCACTCGCTGTCGGTATCGTCTGGCAGCAGTGCCCACACCGGTCAGTCAGTCGTCGTCACACCATCTCGCTCGATCGTGAAATTATTTTTTACAGCGACACGTAACTCACTCGTGTGCGCCGTCATTGTAGTGTGTACTGTTGTACGATGATCACATAGTTATATCAACACCGCATACCTACGTTTTAAAATATTATTTTCATTTAAATCGTTTGGCGTTCCGTATAGTAAAAAAACGCGTTTCTCGTCGTGGACTGTACTACTATTATCGCGTACGTCTTATATTGTTCATCGTAATCCGCAGTTTGGTCTTATACAGCATTTCGTCTGTATACCACGATTCTCATACCGATGGATACCTAACCTTCGGTGATGCTTGAACTCGTCGTGTATAAATATTATTAACACTTTCGGCTAGCTCGAGTCCGCCGCCGCTCCACCACGATGGCCGTGCTGGTCAGACTTCGAGACACCGTGGTGTCCATATCGGCGGCCGATTCGCTGAAAATGTTCGCACTCTCCGTGGTCTGGGGCTCGTGGATCGTCGTCAAGAAGGCGGCCGCCAGGGCCTTCAGCCCGCTGTGGTCGGAAGCCGGCGGTGGCCACGGGAACAGCAAAGACGCGGCCGCCGGTGCCGGTGGCAAGGCCGTCCACCGGGCGCCCATCAGGGACCGTCCGCCGCCGTGTCTGTCCACTACGGTTTACGGTACCCACTCGTACGTCAAAGTCAAGGTTACATAATAATAATATGCAATACTGCAATATCATAATATACCTAACCTGTATAATATATTGGGCATACCCATTGGCGGAAATTCGGCGGGGGAGGGGGAGGCCTAGCCCCCCTCGAAAGTCTTTCAAGTCCCCTTAAAACAAATAAAAAGTAATTGTAATTGTCCTCCCCCTCCCCTCATTGTTGTAGGTACCTGATTTCCATCTATGGGTATACCTACTTATTTTCAAACTTATACTTATGAGTTATGAAGTTATAAAAATCGATTTTTTTTTTTTTATTCTGCGACTTATCACAGGTCGCCTAACCAATATAATGTCTACATTTCTTAACACCGTGTTTTGGATACCGTTTTTCATCGCCGGCCGTCTACTTTATGTCTTAAACTCTGCAGAAGTCTTGGTCCCGTCATGTCGCACTGACATTCAATATCTGCGAAGTTCGGCCAAGGGGGGATTATACAATTGTTTAATCTCTAGACACGGTGAGCATTAATATACGTAATAAATTATACACTAATCATCAACATTTTTCAGTTTTTTTCCAACAGAAAATATTATTTATTTTTCAACTTAATTTAATATTAATTCGGCATTTTTTTTTATTATATACATAATTAATAATTATAAACGAGGTTAAACACTTAAGGCCTCCCCCCCCCCCTTGGTTGGTTCCTAGGAGTTCCAACTATCTAAAATACGTTGTTGCCAGTGTTAATATTTGTAATATGCATGACTCACATCATAGATACGGGCACACAATATACACATTGTAATATTGTAAATAATATATACATTTGTATACAATGACGGATAGGATTATAATTACTGGCCTACCGAGTTTTAGGCTTTTTACCCAGCCGAAAACCCGTTATAAAATGGGTTAGAACAATTTAGTTTATCCAAACTATTAAAATATATTGTGTCCAGCCAACCAGTTAAAGAACTCGTCAGTATTTTTGGAGCTTGTGTAATTTACATAATATTATATATTTATCTATTTTACTATATTATAACAGCATACAGAAATGTTACGGTGCGCCAAACTTGGAGGATTGCAAATAAGTCAGTGTCCTCTGTAATATTATACGCCTGCAGTAATAGTCAATAAACATTTATGTTTTCGAATACAAAGCTAGTTGTATATTTTTGGCAATGGTTAGATTATATAAAATATTTATAGAAATATAATCGTTATAGGTATTCAGAAATAGATAAAAATTAATACAAAACTTTTTGGGCTCGGGATCTTGATCATCCGATGTGACGGAACTGTCAAGCACCCCCCTTCCCCACCCCCGCAACACCAACATTTAAAAGTACATATCTAATAATATGCTTGGGTCCAATTCTAATTCGATTACTTATAATATAGTAGGTACCTGCATAATATAATTTAATGGTATTATGTGTAATACTTTAATAGTATATCAGTATGAACTATGAGAGTATGACAGCAGTGAATATATTATTATATTATATTTATTACTTCAATACCAGCTAGCTATTTCCTATTCTCAATACGTTTACACAAAATAATGAATAATATCATTTATACGCGATATGTAGTTTTTTTGTTCAATATTGTACCTAAATTGTGGGCTGTGGCTGTATTTATATTGAATTATTATACCTGAGTACATATTATACACACATTTATAACGCTGAAAACGACCATAACTTACGTACAACACAGAAAAAAGAAATAGGTAGGTACATGCAACATACAGCCCGTGCAAGGTACATCGATTTCAATAATAGATATAATTATCTATAATTTTGTATCACGACGACGACTGCCTCGACAACCTGCGCGGCTGCGCGATTTATTTTATCATATTGTTTCATTAATTTCTTAAGTGGTGAATGCTCTCCCTCATTTTTCTCTTTAATAGTAGGTACATTTGTTAATTCTGATTTTTAGAATTGCTAAGTATACCTAAAGACCATATTTTTAAATTCCTGACATTTGTTATACCTACAACCTACTAAAGGAGTGTCCTGTGGCAGTGTGACCCTTTTTTTTACTGCAAATTATTTAGCGAGCGGTTTTTTTGAAAGTTTTGATGTATCTAAATCAAAATTCTAATGAGTAGTTTTTAGGTTCTTAAAACATTTATACTTAGATAATAATCCTTACAATTAGTTATAGAAAAATATAAAATATAAACTATATGTTGTATTAGATGTAGTATTTAAATATTCTTAAATAATTTATATGGATAGATCAATAGTAATAACTAATATTCTAAAATCATCGAAGTCCCCATATTATCTACTTATCCCATTTGTCATTATCATAGATATTAGATAGGTAATATAATCCTTAGTAGGTCCACGAAGTTATATAGCTCAAAAACTACTTGTTCGAAATTTAATTTAGATACATAAAAATATCTGCTAAATATTTAAAAGTGAAAAAGGGGGGTTCCTATTTGAAAAATAGAAGTTTTCATTGTCACAGGATCATCCTTAAGTGGTACAAAAAAATCTCAAGTTTTCGAAAATATGGTCTTCAGATGTATTTAAAAATTCCAAAAATCAGAATTTCATTACATGTGTAATTAAAGTATAAAAATAGGCTTAAGGATTAAAGGCTTACCCCATGCTTAAAGAATCATCCTGTATAACGCATATATAATAATACAATAGTTGCTTTTTTTTTTTTAAATAATGCATTTTCAACTACAAAGTGGTATATTACAATCGTCTGTTATCCAATTATTAGCTATAATAGAGTGTGATATAATACCGCCATAATTGAATAATTTATGATTATAAATATAAACATAAGTACATAATATTTTTTTTTTAAACATATAAATATTTTAACAATCGAATATAGAACGGTGTTGACAGAGCTTGAAGGAAATTTCGTACCTATGTTGAGTTGTTTTAGATATTAATTTTTAATTAATATTGCAAATTGTTTTTAGGCACAATTGTATCAAATATCAATTATTGTAAATGTATAACTTATAAGATTCTGATTACATATTCGATTTTATGACAAAAATCTATACATCAAACGTATTGTTAGTTCGTTTGAAGTTTGAACCAATCCATTTATTCAATTGAAATTTATAATTTCTATATCAGCATAATATTAATGTAATATATATCATATTAAATAACCACGTCTAAAAAGCTATTATAAATTATTTTTTTTTAATATATAACACCATGTACTTTAAAAACCGTGTAAACATTCATAAGGCTCTCGTGAATAGTAATAAATACTAATATTATGGTGAAACACACCCTCTGTATATATGATCCATATTGACAAACATATAAAAGTCAATAATCTTTTTGTTTCTACGACGCTTCGTAACGAAAATTTAAGTCACCGTCATTGAAGATGTTTCACATCGAAAATCACAAGAAACCTAAATTTGAAAATATTAAATGCCACATTTTTTATACCCATTACTCGTTGACAGTAATTGCATACTGAGTAGATGAGTATATCATAAATTGTTACTAAAATAAAAATGTGCTATAAAATATGAGGCGGTACATATATTATATTAAATATAATATGATATTAATAAACAAATTTTAGACTCCAGATATTGGACAGACAGGAATAGGTGTAGGTACTGACCTACTGTAACTTTTAGCTTTCATTGATCACGTTCGTGTAAAAGTGTATAATACCTGTATAATCAAGGCCGTATCCAGAAAAAAAAATCGGGGGGGAGGGAAGGGTCCAAACTCTGTAATATTTATGTCGGTATTAAAAATAAATATTTATTTAGTTAAACATTTGTACATACTATTTAGGAAATTTCGGGGGGAGTCCGAACCCCTTGGACCCCCCCTCAGATACGGCCTTGTGTATGATACATGTGACATTTGTGTATTGGTATTCTGCCCTTTAGGATTATTTTCAGCGAGTTACAAATTCCTCGTGTAATTTATTAACGCAGCTTCGGTCATTGTGCACAGTTGTGTCTTAATCGAAAAATTGGATTCGTGTAGTGGCAATGATAAAAATGTTAATCATACATCAAACAACATTTATTTTGTTTTTTTATACAATTAATTCTGCATCTCTACAGATTGAACCATGTTGATGAATAAAAATTAAAAATTAAAACCTAAATAAATGCATTGGCTGGAGATCCTCCTGTCTTTTTTATTTTCTATTGTTGACTGTTGTCATATATGTGCACGTATGTAACACAATATTAAAAACTAATGCTAAACAAACTCTCACTCAGACATGTTCTCAGAAACAAAAACAACTATAATTTTGAACGCGTTGCTCGGTCTGTAACAATTTAAAAAATGTGCTGAATTTAGCTATGTTAAATGATAATGTAAAATTATTAATGATTCATCATAATGGGTCAACGTGAAACACAATAAAATTACTAAAGTGATTAAACCGAAGATCCACTCATTTTGCACTGCAACTGCACTGCTATTGCGTTGCTTTGCTGCGGCCGGCCTTAAAGTAATAAGACTCAAATTTACATGAATTAATATTCTTATATCTTGAAAATTCACAAGTTCCAACCTTAGGTACTGCTAACAACTATTATTATTATTTATTTATAAATGAAAAAAAATAAGTCTTGGCGTCTATGGCCATTGGCATCATACAAAGAGTTTTAAGGTTAACAATTGCTTAAGATGCACTATGCAGTATTTACATAAACAAATTACAGATTACAAATTATTGATAAGATTGGTCTTAATTAAGAAGGCTATCGTTTGACTTATGTTATCTGGGTGGAGGGCTTCCGAAATAATATTTTATTATTTTTTATTTAGGGTGTTAAATTGCATTACGTTGAATGTGGTGACCCCGATGGAACGGTTGTTCTTTTGCTACACGGATTCCCATCTTGTTGGATTAGTTGGCATCATCAAATACCCACTTTGTCAAAACATTTTCGGTAAGTATAGGTACCTATTTATTTTTAATTACTCCCTATAGTTTTATTAGAATAGATAATTATTATGAGTATAGACGAGTACTGTACTAGAGCCGTAAAATAAAAATTCCAAAAAAAATTTAATATTTAATCTTAAAATTAGTGCAAAATCATGATAAATTATTTTATTTTAATAAATCTCTGTCAAAATTAAATTTTTTGTCGTTCTTTTCTTTTACCATATTGTATTATTTGTGTAACCTTTTATTTGAGAAAGATTACAACCAAATGTATTAGACACGTGCATAAAACTCAATTTTTATTTGAAATTTTATATATATCGAATAATTTAATTAGGTATTCCTTTTAATTCACAGGAATCATATTGCAGTCGGACTTGGTTAACTCAAAGTGTAAGTGATTGGCAAAAAAATCGAGATATTAACGATTTTCAGTTGAAAAAGTAGCAGTTAACTAGTTCGACTGTAATTAAAAAATAAATTGTTTTTGAATATATATATATTGTATTAGGTATATACATTATACCTACAAGCCCTATTATAATATTATTGTAGTAAAGTCATATTAAATACATTGTATTACATAGTATATAATATATACTATGTAATACAATGTATTATAAGATATAACTACCTAATAGGTATTTGTAATATGTAATTTAGAGACTTTATACATTCTATATTGATAATACATATTTATTATATAAATTATTTTATGTTCTTAACATAATTTTACTTCATAATTATAATGATATATAATACGAATATTATTGAACATTGGTCTAACACGTACCTACTGCAATACCTACCTTATTTTTATTTACACAATTTATTCGAACTAATAGGTATGTTAAGAGTTTATAAATAGTATTTGTTTTGAGTCTACAATTATTAAAACAATACTGTTGTTGAATATAATATATAATAATATTATCCATGGGTAAATGTTTTTTTTTAAATTTTAAAGTCGCTTTTTGCACGTTTTTCAGTAGTTAGTACAACCTACTCAGAATTGAATATTAAAACAAAATATGACCTCTATATAGAATATGTTACATTCATGATTTATGAATACTTCTTATTGAAATGTAATGTTCATATTTTAGCTCCATTAATATTTCAGATTATTAATTTAATATTAGTATATATAAATAAAATAATAAATAAACTTTCTTGTTTTAAAAAGTAAAAATTTCAGAAATCATATTAGTAATATAGCGGTATGCGATGTTTACCAGGTACTATGTGTCTACGTGCAATTGCAATTTTTTTTTCATAAACATTGATAAGTTTATTATGTATCTATATATCCTTAAAACACTTATTCTAAACACTAAACAGTAAACACCATATAACTTTATACATCTACAGTAGACGTATAATACATACTATATATGAACTCGCAGTAAAACATATTGTTTTAAAGCAAAACCGCCCATTTTCGTACTATCAAATATTTTTTATTTTTTCATTAGTTTTAGTGGACTAATTTTCTACTTTAAAAATTGTCGACTGATGATATTTTGAATGTTTGATATTATTATTAATTGCGTGTGCATAACATGTGAAATCATTTTTATTTATCGGCTAATTGAGCCTAGTGAGATGGGTCTTATGCAAATAATAAATTGGTATAATATCTAACATTTAAAATGTTATTAGCCAGCTATTACGCACACAGTTTACTTACAAGAAGTAGGCCTGAACATTTAAATTCAGAGAACAAATGCAAAGAAAAATAATCGGTGGTAAAAATGGGCGGTTGCCTAGTTGAATGGAGTTGTGCGTTGCATAAACGAAGCTTGAGTTGGTATTTAACAATCAAATAAAACCAATCGCATAAATGATAAATGTGTATACTTTTTTGTATCTCGACGAATAAAAAATCTTGGTTTAAACTGTTTAAAGTGTAAAACAGTGCAGGCGTACCCAACGAACACGATAATCGATATTCAATATCATAATATATACTTACATATTGTACAGTTATGTACAAATTAAAATAATATGTCAATATGTGTAATATCATAATACTACTCTTATTGTTTGTTAATTTTAATTTAAAATTATGATGTACCTAAATAATAAAGATGGTACTCATAAATTAACCAACTTTAAAATGTAGTATAGCCTTGCATCAGTTGTATTGTCTACGCACTACACAATTATTAATAATGTTATTATCAGTTGCCATTTTTTTAACCATGACTTAAACTAGTACCTATATTGATATTATTAGATACCTATTACTATTATTTTATTTTTCTGTTTCGTTTACAGTATAGGTAATCTATGTTATTTGATGCTTATACAACAAATGCATTATTGAAAGCCTTAATTAATTTATAAATACATTATGTAGATGCTTGTCTTATATTTAGTAGTTTATACAAACTGTTATTTTATACACCAAGTCAATTTTATAAACTATAACACCTTATACGTTTCCAATTAATTATATCCAATTAGTAGAAGAAAGAAAATAATTATAATACCTAATTAGCTATTAGTATCTATACCTAATGGTAATACTTTTGATAATCAAGCGTTTATTAAAAATAGTCTAGGTATTTATCAATAGGTAGGTGTGTATGAACCCATGTTTAATGCATTCAATTTACTGTAATTAATATTTAATAATATATTTATGCATAAAGTATTAAAAACTATTTTTGAAATGTGCATGAATTATGTAAATTAAGGTTACAATTTAATACTAATCGAAATTTGGCCTTTGCATGACCATACCGGCGAACTATATAATAATACAATAGTATATTACTGTATTATACGTCTTAATAATAAATCAATATGATAGTTGATTACAATACATTTTAGCATTAGTAATTATTTACTAATATATTATATTATTCTAATAAAATACTTAATTAAATTTATTGTTTTAATATATTATTAATCGATTTTATTAAGAGAGCATAACAAAAACAATTTATAAGATGTTCAACAAATTGATCAATTTTGAAGGCATTCCGAAAAATTGTAGGTCCCTATTTATAAAAAAAATTGTTTACATACATTTGTTAAGAAATTACAAGTTTCACCATGACTGCAGTTTTAACCACAGAATAGATTTGATCTATTTAGTGGTTGAACTGAGCAGCTTCTACTTAAAAATAGGTAGTATATAAGTGAGATTTGCTGAAAACGTGTATTTAACATTGTACATTCGCTAATCGATGTTACAATGATGCTACCTACTATAAAAAATATACTGCTATATTAATCTGACTGTAAATTTGAAGTTTATGGCCCGGAAGCCGGAAGTAGGTATATGTATTATGTACTTACTAAAGACTACCAAAACATACATGCATTGACACGCTGTATTATGAGATGAAATATGTTCTTACTTTTTTTTTACTGAAATATTAGAAAATTAATTTCAATTTTGTTGACTGGTAATTCAATTTTTTATACATTCAAAGATTAAACTTAACTTGTAAATAGAAAAAATTAGATAAATTATGATAAAATAATATAAATGCATAATATATTTCTGTCTGAAACATTACAATTTACAAGTGAAAATTCTAATTAATTTTCAAATATAAATGTGTTCCGGTCGTCTTCGTTTAATATTAAATAATAATATTAAGTTTACTTTTATAGTGATCCTAGTTTAAAATCAAAGATGTGGCACCAACAATTATTTACATTTTGTGATTCAGAGTTATTGTACCTATTTCAGTGTGATTGCAGTAGATCTTAAGGGTTTTGGCGATTCCGATAAACCTTCAGCACGCAAAAGTTATCGAGTTGAAAATCTGGTCAACGAGCTAGCCGTGTTTTTGTCAATGCTTGGAGTGGACGGCCGTAATAAATGTCACGTAATCGGCCATGACTTGGGCGCTCTATTGGGCTGGTATCTGGTACATCTGTGGCCCAAGTTCGTATCGAAATTTGTAGCCATTTCATGTCCTCATCCCAATGTTCACTGGGAGTACTTACCTTCGTCGAGTTTCTTTAACAAAAAGTAAGTTGATCTGATAATACCAGAAATATCACATCAATTGTGAGCCTTATAACCGTACATAGGTATTGTACCCATATATAAATATGCGAAATCTTAACAAAGAGTTATGGTAGCGTATTCCAAATTTGATATTTACGCTTTATTATCGATTATTTAGTTCGCTATTGGTTTCGTAATTTATCATGCGTCATATTGAATACTTACTTCAACTCAAAGTAGGTGATTTTATTGACCTCCCACTCTAAATTGTTGTAAAATTCTCCACTTCAAATATTTATAAGTTATAAGTTATAACTACCTAATTAGTAATTATCTACTTGTTCAAAATATATTAAAACTCTGCTTAGGATTATACAATTAAAAATGGAAGTTGCAACACACAAAATGATAACGATAATAAGTAGTAAAATATATCTATTGTTTTTCAAACATTTACAGTTTTATTTGTAGGTTTACACTATATTCATCCAGTTACAGATTAAGACAGAAATTAGTGATTTATTGATTCAAATATTTAACTACTAGTACATCTCTCCGAATTCCGAGTCCCTGAAAAAATTGAATTTTTAAATGGATACCTCGGTGATAGAACAGTACCTACTACCTACGTTATTACATCTGATGAACTTGATTGAGTACGACAGAATCTTAACCGTATAATGTAAAATGTAGATTATAATATAATGAGAATTTGGGAGATACGACTGTTGTGTAATGCGTACCATAGGTATAATGTTTGTCTATTTAGACTTTATCTAGTCGAGTGTATGTAGTATAAAATTAAATAAATAATATTACAATATAAAAACAAAATTGCACATTACAGGCAAAGGTTTTTAGGTAGATGGTTATTGCTTATTAGTTATTACTTATTAGTATAAGTATTAAGTCCTAAGAGTCCAATAAACTCAAGAAAAGAAATATAGATGATTAATTAAACGTCGACGTTTTTATCCAGAAATTAATTTTATCATATTATAGTTGGATTTGCTTCAGTCAACTTCCTTATCTACCGGAAATGGACGCTTTGGAAAGTGATTTAAAAATAATCAACCAGTGTTATCAACACCTATCTAAAAATAAGAAAAGTGATGACTTATCTTACATCGAAGCATATAAATATACGTTTTCAAGAACAGGTGATCATAATTTAATACAAATAAATAATAACGATGGCTATTAATTTTGGACATTACTTAAGAGGATGTCAGTATGTCACGCAATATTTGTTTTCTCAGACCCAAGGGCAACAAAAATAAATTGCCTTCACCTAAAATCATTTCTTATGATTTTTGAATAATCTTAGAGTAAAATTACCTGTCACAAAAATTGTAGAGGATAATAAGTCTGAGGGTATGACATAACGTTTTTATATTTCATCAGTATTTGACTTTCAAAATAGGTAAAAAAAATTTTGTAAATTTAAATGCTGTTTAAATTGTTTTAAGACAATATTCAGACAAATCAATATTTCATGCCTTCAAAAACATTATCCTCTATCGTTTTTGTAATGTCTGATTTTACACTAAGATTAATCAAAAATATTTAAAAAAATGATTCTGCGTAATTGCGTTTTGTCTTTGTTACGCGTGGGCCAATGAGAAAAAACAAATTGTGCCCTGACAATTGATATCCTCTCAATCCATCTTATTATAAATGTAATTAATATTACCCTAGCTTAATGAAATATTTGTATTTTCTTTAGAGGATTGGACGGGTGCTATAAATTATTTTAGAAACTTACCATTCTACAGAATCGAGCCTCGGAGTAATAATGATTCTTTGAATAAAGAAGAAGACATGCTTCAAGTTCCGTGTCTGCTCATCATCGGTAGCAAAGATGTCAGTGTGCAAATGGAGAGTTTTATCAGATCCACAGAATTTCTAAGAACATCTACTGTAAGAATAATTGATAACGCATCGCACTTTCCCCATCAAGAGCAACCTAAAGCAGTCAATGATCTATTGACATCATATTTAGGTAAGTTTTAAGACTATTGTTATACTTATTTTATATAATTTGAACGAATAACAAAAGTTAAACTGTGAGTATAATATATTATGTGTGTATAACTGAAAAATAACTGATTTTATAAATGTATAATAAATATAAATGTATAGGTATATCCATATAATTCAAATGTTTAGTTATTCGTAAAAGCTATCCAAATTAATGCTTAAAATATAATATTATGCATAAATATAATGTAGGTAAATAATATAGGTACTTCACATTTCTACTGTGCTCATAAATGAAATATTTTTTTCAATTAATAATTAACCCTAATACCTAACCTAATAACTTATATTAGACTATTTAGGTACTAACTATACCACTATACCAGTGCAATAGATTCTAAGTGTAAAAATTATATTAACTTTAAGAATATTATTTAATATTTCTACTTTAATATAGATAATAGCCAATGGGTATTAAAGCAAGTAGGTATTATATTAGGTATCTAATACACGTGCATAAATTAATACATATCAAATTTTATAAGATTACAAATTACAATTATATTCTAAGGGTCAATAATAAGGTTATGAAAATATATACTAATTCTTAATGGTATGTACAAGAATAATTAATGTTTACAAGTTGAGAATAGTGTTAGAGTACCATTGTACCAATAGCTATTCCTATAACTAAATTATATTATAAATTAATAATATAAAAGTGATAAGCATATATAAATACGAATACCCCTTATACGTCTGCTTAGTTAAATTATTAATTAATTATTACATATAATTTTCTTTTCAATAATCTTACGAGTACGGAGTAGATAGGTATCTAAATATAGCAATGCGCAATGGCGTAAATATAATTTTTATCTGAGGGTAATTTTCATACGTAGTCGTTGTAACATTATTACGTTACGGCGATATAAAAACTACCCAGAATTTAAATTGATTAATCTTTATATAATATTATAACAGATTTTGTTACTGCCTTTTGGTGCTAAAATGACGGTGATATATGTATGAATTATGAGAGCACCTAGTTGCGGTACGATGGCGGTGGTGGAAAATCCTAGCAAATAGGATTGTATCGCCCTCTTTGCCGTCTTCCAAAAAAAATAATAACGTTCCAGTTTGATAATTTGGGAAATTTACAAAATTGTATGGTTGGGATTTACAAAGCTATATATATATTTAAAATATCTCAGTTTTAGTGTACCTCAGTCAATGGGCAAACCCTTATAACACTGGGACACCTAAGGCAAGTAGGTTCATGGACATCCTAACGGGAGCATTAGAGCTATTTCAGGAATATCTCGATCGGGCGACAGGCTTACAATTGTACATCCAAAGTTATACACCAAGTATTGCTTAATCCTTAATGTTTACCTCCTGGGAACATCCCACTACGACTTTCACAGGAAATTCCTATATTAGTCCCATTTGTATTACATAAAAGTACCTATTACTCAATTATTACTATTCATCCCGCTATATATATATATGTAAATATTATTTAAGAATCAGAAAATCTCTTTTTATATATACGTACAAGTATAATGTGTATAAAATATATACTTTTTGATAAGTGAATATAAAGTAAACAATATGTATTTAGTCTAAAATAATTAAAACATTATAGGTATATATGTACATACAAGAAGTACACTTTCAAATCTATTGTTAAATGTAAGAACCGACATACATGCAGAGTGATTCAAAAGTTATGTTCCAGCCATTTTATCATATAAATATTCAAAATAGTGAAAAATATATGGTACAAAAGTTTTTTGATTTAGAAACATCTATTATGATTTCATAATTTTATAATTATTTTTTCTGGGGGGGGGGAGTCAACTTTATAAATTCAAATGGAAACTCATACTTTTTTTTTGCAATCATAATGCGAAGACGTTTTTAAAAATTTAAAATAAATTTTAGTGCATGAACAACATGAAATAATGCAAAACTCAATGCTCGAGAGCTATTTAAAAATAGTACAGGAAATTGTGGTTATAAAACTTACTAAAGAATTATTGTTAATGTTGTAGTTATAAGTTATAACTTTTTATTTTATAATATAGATTTACACATCGTATCTAATACAGTGTCATCGAAATTGTGTGTGGCAAAAATATTGATGACCTAATATGACCAATGACCACGTATGAGTGTATGACTAATCCCCCCCCCCCATTTTTTCCACATGCAATTTGGTAGAACTTGTAGATACGATGTACCTATGTTTGTTGTATGTACACGTATTATATTTGCATAATATTATAGTGTCTAAATTAATGTATTTCTGTCACAGTTCGTGTAAAAGTAGTTCAAAAAATGCTGCAACCACAGAACTGTGGTGGTTTAGTTGGAAGAATGAAGGATATCGTTTCATCAACTGTTCAATATGGAACTACGTTAAAAGATTCAATGCAAAGAAACATTTCACCAATCTCGGCCAACACATCGTAGCGAAACTAATATTTTTATTAATTTACAAAACAGTGTTTTTATTGATGGTAGGCATTTATATTGTATCAAAATAATATTAACAATGAGAGAAATGTTATCATCCATAACACGTTTATTAATACAATTGTTTACTTAAAATATCTTTTAAAAATACTTAAAAAATTAATTGGTACTGTGAGCTCGAATATTATATATTTATCTACATATACATTCGTTCATAACACGTGTACCTAGGAAGTTAATTATGTATAGTTTTATCCAATGCTCTAGCCAGGGGGGCTTTGCCCCTTGAAATATCCAACTTATTGTACCCGGTAATACCTTTGCCCTAGCAATACAATTTTGAAGCCCTTCCTCCTCCGCCACCGAAAAAAATCCTGGCTTCGGTACTGGTTTTATCTATAGTGTTATTATTGTGAATTATTAATAAGATAAATTAAAATTAATATAAATTATAATATTATAATCGTATATTGTTATGCAACCCGATTGAGCATAATTAAACGTTTATAATACATAATCTGATAAACGATAGTAGGAAATATAACCTACGAATGAACAAATGTTCCCTTTGGTAAAGAAATGCCTAAATTATTTTATAAATGTACTTAATTACAAATGTGAATGTTTTTAAATTGGAATGTAAAGTGTAGTCTGTATATAACTATAATTTATAATTTTAATTAAATTTATTATTAGATATCTATTGAATTTACTATATTGCATAGGTTAGTACACCTACTTATGAAATGTGAATGACGAACCATTTTTTTTATATTTGTAATACAACGTGTTATAATTATTATTTATCTATTAATCATATAACTGCATATAGTCATTGATTGGTAGGTACTTTGAAACCAAATCTCAGGCATTATTCCTTTATGGGACTTCGAATATTTGGCAGGCGGGAAATGTCCATTCCCTCAATCCACCTATGTATTTAATTGAATACTATTAAAGGGATCATGTGGCGGACAGTTTTTTTTACACACAGTCACACACACTAATGATCACTTACTAGTTATTACGCACACATTTACAAGACCCGCTGCGTGCAATTAGAAAATTGCCTATTTCGATCCTCTTAAGAGGACCACATGTTTTGTCTCAGTCTTACAAGTATATATCATGGCACATTGTACGGTCTGAATAAGAAATTTAACTCCGCTATGTTTAATCTCGGATTGAATTGACCAATCATCAAATTTAGTAGTAAGAATATTATCTAGTCGATGACATAGGTTTTTCTTTGTACTTGTAATTTTAAAACGAGTTATGAGCATTTTAAGATGTGCAAACAATTTACTGTTTTAGCATTTACTATTTGCAAATGGACATTTGGTTCAGTATAGGGGTTGTATGTTCCAGTATAGGCAATATTATAGGATTTTACGATTGGGTCGTACAAGTGTGTGCGTAGTAAATTATCATTAGCTTGTGTATAATCCCCACCAATCGACCTACATAATAAGCACCCTCATGTACATTTCATTTCATCTTTATTCATTAGATAAAAAAATATTCAAAACCTATTTATGAATGTGAAATAGCCTAACGTCTGTCAAACATAATTACTTCCAATAGTTCGATTTCAAAAATTTAAAGATATTTGAATGCATTAGCAAGTTTACTTTGCATCGTTCAGAGCACTTTTTCAAGTTCAACAAAATTTTGACGAGAATAAATATTTTACGGTTACAATTCATTGATGTTTGATTTAATTATTTATCATAATTTTTTCTTAGAATTAGTCTTGAATCATTTAAATTTAGTTAATTATGTAACCTTTTAAATATTAGAATACGGTTTGTATTGTTTGTAATATAAATATATAAAATTATATAAATTATAAATGCACTATATATTTATTCCTATTAAAACCCCCACACAATTTATATTATAATTTTTTTAACTATTCAAGTGTGAATTTATAAAACATTTTACAGTACAGGGTCCGGTAAAAAGACTTCCCATATTTTAAAAGGCAATTACAAATAAATAAACAATTTAACAGAACAATTGTATTACATTTTTTAAATTTAATACTATGCCATTTTTTTTTTACATTATCCTATCAGGCAATCCAAGGGCAGCTGCATGTTTAAGTGCTGAACGCCTTGGAGATTGCTGGATAGACGCACTAACACGTGCCACATTATCCGGCGTTGTTGCGGTTAAAGGTCGGCCAGACGATTTCCTCTTTAGCGCAGAACCCGTTGCTCTAAAGTTTAACTACCAAACTTGAATTGTTTTTCCATCCGGAATAGGATCATGTCGGCCAAGTTGAAATCGAATGCGAAATGCTCGATGAGTAGTAATCGCAGAACCACCATTACGGATATATTCCTCTATGACAAACGCGCGATGCTCACCGTGCCACGTCATTATGATTACTGAAAATGGCACGCAGTCACGCAGACCTCTATCTATCTATACCCGGAATACCATTTTATTTATAAATAGCTTTAAATATAAACGTCTTAAAATACGGGAGGTTTTTTTGCCGGACCTTGTACCTACTACAGTACTACCTACCAGTATGATTAATAATTACGTATTCCAAAATAATTATTTCCCATACCTACTATACCTGTACAATCCACACAAAAGAAAGTACTGTTTACCGATTTCAAAGATAGATTTAGCTAGATAGTTAACTGGTACAGCCATTAATTATATAAGTCTTTCCTAAAAAAAAACAAATCTGTATGATATAAAAGATCTTAATATATTATCTCGAATACACACGATAACAGGATTTCGAATAGACAAATAAATTTAGGAGGTACCCTGACTTCCCCGTCTATTTTTTTTCCAAATTAAGCACAAGTCTACAAAAAAAAAAATTAGTTATAACTTATAAGTTATAACTCAATTTCGTTACAGATAAAATGTGTCAATAAAATTGATTTGTGTTTAGCAGTTCATAGGTTCATAGATTTTAAAAATAATAAAAAATTCAAAACGTCTGAAAATATGTACATGAGTTCGACAGAAAAAAATAATATTAAGTGAAGATAAATTTAATCATAATAATTACTTCTAGTTTCATCCATTAATTGTTAGAGTTATCTTCACAGTTTTATACTAATGAGTAATTATATTTTGCATGAATAGTTATTGCAAATTACAAATTGCACTGTACCTAGTTTTAACACAATACCATTAGGTACAACTATTTATAATTGATAAATATATATATTTTTTTTTGAATTAAGCCTCGGCAACTATGACCATTGGCAACAAAGAGTTTAACTCTAAATTATTTACATGTTATATAAGTTACATATACTATTGATAAGGCTGGACTTAGTAATAAATGTTATCATGTGATGTCTGGGTGGGGGGCTTCTGACAGAATGTTTGAAATGTCTGCTTCTCGTCTATGCGTTACATATGAAAGGCATTCAGTTATGATGTGTTTGATTGAGAGAGGAGTACCGCAGATGGCACATAGAGCTGAATCTTCATTCTTCATCAGATACTGGTGGGTTATCGATGTATGTCCTATACGAATTCTTTTGATTGAGGTTTCCATTTTTCTTGAGAAGTCTGGCGGAGAGGGCCATGCGTGGATGGTATTTTTAATTTCGTTTAATTTTGAGGTACCTTGTTTCCATGCCCGTTGCCATATGTTGTTTAATATTATTCTAGTTATGAATTTTGCGTCATGTAGGGTAAAACAATTAAGTCTAATGGTATTACTGGAGGTAATTGCTTGACGTGCTTTTTTGTCAGCTACTTCAATTGATAAATATGTTTTATTATCATGAGGTGTACTACCTACTACACATTTTAATTTTAGTTCATACTCAGTCATTTGATTCTTAGTTAAATAATAAATATTTAACTAACATAGATGATTTCGCATCAAAATAAGTTCGTCGCTATGTCTTATAGATTAATACTATACACTTTAAGCATAAAAAAAAATTCTTATTCATTTAATTGTCTTATTAATATCCAAATAATTTTTGTAATTTTATATTTTATATATTACAATTTAAGTTAAATATCTAAAATGTGTGTCCATAAATTCTTAAATATATTTTTTAATTTCTTATTGTTAATTTTAATTAATTTGATTTGTTGAGTTTATACGAGTTTAATGTAAACTTACATTTTTTTCTGAAGGGGACTGCAATAAACGGACCTAGGATGGCAGTAGCTCAAAATTCGGCCCTACGTTCGTTATATGTTAAGTACCTATGGATATTATGCAGTATACGTTATCTGTTGGTGCAGTGGCATATCACAATATAGCTACAATGCTACATAAACATGGTGGACAATGCAAAGCGGTTAGTCCAGGTTAGGTTAGGTAACCTATCATTGAACCCGAAACCACTCCATTTTCGTTAGCTGGAATAAAAAAGGTGTTGTAAACTGTCACATCTGCAAAATTCATGAATTTAAAAATTTATTAATTTCTAGATATGGTGTGTAAAATATGTTCGAGTTTTTTAATTGCCATGTTAGGCGGTAAATATCGTATTTTGGGAAACAATGGCTTACATTTTTTTTAAAACTTGAATATTTCTAACTCAGAAATAACAATCGTATCCACATAAAACCGAAGACACTAAGTCTCCATATTTTGAACGAGTTCACCTTGATGAAAGTTGGATCAAACAGATCAATTCAAGTAGGTGGTATTGCAGTAAGAACGCCTAATGGAAATCGAATCTGTCGCCGTCTTGACTCTATACCGATTATCGACGAATGAAGATAGCGTGTACAAGTTTAAAATATTCATATTAAACAGAGGGAGAATGTTTGCGGCTGTATCAAATAAAAAGTATACAATTTATCGTTAAATTGACCGTCAACTACGACAGCCTATCGCGTACACACACGCACATGCACACACTCACATAGTCGCTGCACTTATATAATCATTATCCGTAATAATGTAATATTAAACTGTGAATTTAAAAAAAATAATTTTTATACTTGTTATCGACATTGCCTTCAACTGATTACGCTAGCGCGTTGTAATTTATCTAGCCGCCCAAAAATAGTCATTCTCTTGTCATACCATCATCTGTCATAAAGTGAGATATTTCACCTTAATATCGGCGTTTTTTACGGTACAACAATTTCAACAACTAATATGAAAATTGCACTTTTTAATTAATATTGTATACGCGCTACAAATCGGTAGTCGACGGTAATTTGTATTATTATATTGGTTCTAATAGACGAATCGCACGTAGGTATACGTCGTGTGAATTAATTAATGTGATTATTTTTTTTCTTTTATTATTTATATGTACCAATGTGAATAGAGAATTGTATACTGATTTTGGTAGCAACTGGACTATTTCCGCAGTAGTGAGTACCTAATAACTATTATTTTAAGTATTTAATACCACTTATTATTAGATATAGGAAGGTATAGGTAACTATTAAAATGTTAATACTTGTTGAGTCAAAGGGTTGCATTTAAAATATGGTAATAATAATGATAATATGTCAGCTAATCACGCTATAGTCGTGAATTATAATACTATTTGTTAACATGTATGCTTACTAATATGAGCCATGACTCATGAGGACTGTAACTATAATCATAATACTTATATTCTTACTGAAATAGTCACGAATTTTTATATTGATAAATGATAATATTTGTATAATTAAAAAGTATTTCAAATATATAAATATAACATAATTAAATATTGCATTAGAAATGTTATACAATCACTAAACTAATTTGTATACCTGTTAATCCAGAAGACCATTAATCGTTATTATTACCAATTGTTAAATTTATAATTGTCAAAAATTAAATTAATCATCTGAAATTATGTTACCATTTTTTATTTTTTATTTTTTGACGTATTATTAGTTAAGTTAATTTTTACCTTCGTTGAAAACTAAAGATGAAATAGAAAATGCTGCCTAAAACCTTGTTATCTCAATGCAGACAGCTGTCTTTAACTCTTCTCTCACCAACAATCGAAACCTCTCAGTTAAAAGGAACTTACTAACTGCCTCCTTATATAAAACACAAATTTTCTAAAAACACAGAATCCATTCTCGGGAGGATCCGGTCTACCATTTGAGAAACGTATACAAATTCACATATCCAATGTAATTAAAAAACTAATACAAGCCCTAAAATCCGACAGTTTCAAGTCTAAATATCAAACCCTAAGTACACGATGGATCTCTGTAGAAATGAACTAAAGATTTAATGAAAATAAAAAGAGATTTTCAACTCTACATCCGAATCCCAAACCAAGTAGTTCAAATAAGATGGTTAATTTTCCAAACAGCCCACTACGTGAAACAAACAGCTGCCTGCCTAAAAAAAAATATACAAAACTAAAATAATTTAGGCATTTGAATCGATTACCTTCTACTTAATAACCTCTGTCCCTTGGTACGTTTCCGAAAACTCACTCCACAATTACAAACGAGAGTGTTTATATTTTATTTAAATATTCACAACTATTATTTACTCTATGTTTCTTTTTTTGTTTTTTAAGCAAGTAACAAGCAGAGAATACATAACCATAGACGATGTGCAGAAAAAAAACTTATATGAAGTGACTTCTTCGGACTTCAACAATGGCCAATGAAAATAATTATATGGCGTTGCTGTATTTTATAACATTTATTCTATTTATTTGTTGGTATTATCGACAAAAATATTGTGTTACAAGTATGAACACCTATACATTTTAATTGTATAGTGCCTACATATTTATAATGTTAAAAACCAAAATTATTCCATAACCTGATAGCATAATCTATGCACAGAAAATTCTCATTTGGTTCCCGAAAAAGTAAATACATTTAAGAATTAAATTTTTAGCCACAACTTACAATGAACCTATTCAGTTACCAGTTCTTATATTCTATAATTCGTTGACCAATCTAGAGTCATTGCACTATTCAACGAGTATCGGTTAGGATTTAAGAAAAAATTATAATTATTTCGTTTCCTTAATCAATAAACAATAAAAACAAATGATTGTTTCGTTTGATGTTCAACAATATTATCATAGTTGTATCAGAAAAACTGTATAATATTATAGAGCTTAGTTCATAGGTTAGGTTTAGGTATACATTATATTATGCGCAAATAACAAATATGTAATTATTTTTTGTTCTCTGTTTATTAATAAACTGATTTTGTTTTAGAAACAAATAATATAGAAATATCAAATCATTCAAATGAAATTCAACTGGATGATGGTGGATACTTACCTAGGACCAACAATGATCAACAGCGTTGTTTAGTGCCATTAAACGTTGTAAATAGTTTGGAGTATGAAAATATATATAATCCGTTGCATGAACAACCTCGTTCACAATATAATGCTGGACAAACTTCTAGAATCAATATTTCCACTACACGAGCCACAATTTCACCGTTTAGTTCTAGCTTAAATTATGTGGAGCTTCATTCGTCTAACGTAGCTTCTTTTTCAAGATCTCTGCTCAACGACCCGCCGCCGCCTTCTTATGACGAGTGCATGGCGAGTTCACAACCAACATCTCATACTGTTAATTTACCAGTGAATTAAGGGAATATTAATGTCCATCCATGTGTATCTATGATATTTTAAGAAGAGAACAAGAATTGTTCACAACATTATCTGAATTCAAAATCGTGTAAGCTGGGGTTTTGGAACTTGTATTGTAGATAACGATAACTTATTATATAGGTACTAATACTAAATAATTATTATTCATCTTACTAACCAATTATTGTTGGATGATTTTTTTTCTATCAAGAGATGATCAATATTTATATGTCAAATAATTGTATGGTATTTGTAGTTATGTCAAAAATAATGTGTATTTATACAAATATATGGTCGAATATATATATAAATCTATAGAAAATATTTATTTATTTAATCATACACAATTTATTATTGTGATATTCATCATTATGCATGTATTATATTACATACTATTAAGATATAGTAAACCTTACTAAATCAATATTAATATATTATACCGATTACCGAATGATTTAATGTTATAGTAAAATATCTTAACCTCATTCAACTGTAGACTTGTAAACGATTGATATGAACGATGAAAAAAGAAACATATTTAGTGTTAATTTTTTAATTATTTAATATTGATCGGATACACAATGTACCATATCACTGAGTTAGGTCTCTGTAATGGATAAATCACTGTATGCGAAAAACGATATTGAGTGGAGATGGTCTATCAGCTTATTGTCATTGAAATATATTACTGCCATTAATTATAGTTATATTATTTATTTCACCATTTATAATAATCCGGTTAATGGAATAAACTATACATAGGCAATTGCTTAAAAAATGTTATTACGTTTATAAAATATAATGATATACATAAAAGTTGCACTTTCTCCCTAAAAATATTTTTGAACTACGATAAATTAAATCAAATTGTGAATTTTTTCATTCAAAAAGTAGACGTTTGTATCTCTATCGCGGTATGCGCCTAGTCTTGAAAGATTTTGAATAGTTTAATTATTGAAAAATAAATGAGAGGTTAAATTGTTACCTGATGAGATACAAACCATTAAGACATATTAAAACTGTTAACTAGGTTAAGAAAACATATTTTATGTGATATTATAATATGCGACACAATTTAGTACACTAAGTCTTAGTCAGCAAGTTTTAGTAGACTGGAAACAATGTGTAGCAACATAGGAAATAGCTGATTAAGCTATAATATCATACAATAATAATAATAATAATAATGTATTGAGCAACAACAATGCATACATACATAGAAATAACATAACATATCAAAAAGTTGAGAGCACAGCCAATAAGCAAATAAATGCTTGCTGAGCTGAGTTCAAAATCCATGATGCGGCCACTGTAGGACACAAAGGTAATAAAGTGTTCTATTTTAATCGTGTGTGCGTTTTAGTGTAAATCGGAAGTGATTATAACTACGACAGAGTGGCGTTCAACTCACTGCGACTCGTTTCATTCGAGAATAAAGAATATCAAGAATAACAATATTAAAAAATTTTTTTTTTTTTTTAAATGTGAACTTACGAGTTGAAACCACGTAAAAAAACATTCTCAAAAACATTACTACTTTTTGAAACAATGAGTGGTTCGTGACGAAAATATCACCTTGTCCTTGTGTAATATGCACGCAGATATAATTGAATCAACATTTGTGTGTGTGTGTGTGTGTGTGTGTGTGTGTGTGTGTGTGTGTGTGTGAGTGTGTGTGTGTGTGTGTGTGTGTACACTGACTTTGTAGTTTCGCGAGTATAAGAGTGTTTGGGTGGGTACCTCAACCCCGCACGATGTTTTCGATATATTTATTCGGGTGTATTAATCATTGCCACGATTTTCGAATTTGTATTTTATTGCATACAGATGGAGCTCAATTTTCGTGAATTTACGATTTACGTGTGAGCTTGAAGACTATATTTTTAGTTTTCTCGAGTACACGCGAACAACATATTTGTCGTTTATGGTTAGTATACGTACGTAATATTCGTGACATTTTGGATTTATCTTTATCTATGTGTGTATATTGCGTAAGATGAATACGGTATTTTGACTTGATGTGTGTCATTGTTATATACCTACACACTATATTTTGACTTGACGTGTCGCGCGTGTGTTTATGTACATAATATATTTTGAGTTTACGTGTGTACATGACATATTATGTGCTATGTGTCATATTATATTGTACCTACCCGACATTTTGGATAGATGAGGTACTATAGGTAGGCACATGATGTGTGTACAATGTGAATTTCGATATTTTGACTTGGAATAAATGTGTGAGGACAATATTTATATTTTTTTTTTACCATTTACATTTGTGTAGCACATACCCATTGCCTAAGGAGAGTACGATTTTTTCACTTACCGTGTGCGTGCACATACTATATTTTGGATTGACATGTGAAGGTGTACAATGTATTAGTTTACGTTTATACGTTTCTGAATTCCTAGAGTGAACACGATAGTGTTTTGAGTAAACGTGTTCTTTTACGGTTATACTGTTTTACTGCGTATTTTGAGAGTAGGTACATTATGATTTACAATTTATAACATTATTGTACATGTGTATTGTGTACCTATGGGCATTAGGTCTAACATAAAGGTTCGTATTCAATATTTATTATTTTATTTTGTATTACTTATTTAAAGTTCTATTTTTCTTTAATTTTAAATGATAATAAGGTTTTATTCATATTTTTTGGTACTTAATTTCCATAATATAAAGAGAACAGTTATAACCGTTTGGGTTTTTATGTTTTATTAGTATCTTAAAGATGCAGCTATTACTTATGAACTTTTATAATAAATTTCTTTGTTTTTTACGTATAGGTACATCATCTAATTTTTTTCACTATTCATTTGCTAAAATAAAATAAAAATTGACATAACTTTTTATTTTTTGTAATGATAGGTAGACACATTTGTACATAGGGTTTTTTTGTGTTCATTCTTGATGTTTATGTTTTTGTGAATCAAATAAAAAATAAAAAAACTTAGCAAACATTTTTATGCAATATACGTTTTATATGCAGGGTGATTCACCAAGTATGCTCACTTCCTTTTTTCTTCAATTATTCAGTTATTCAAAATCAGATTTTTGAAACTTTTAAATATACTTCGAGACAATACTTTCAAATTCTTGAGATTTTTTGTACTTCTTAAGGAATGTCTTTGGTGGATACAATCTTCTGTTTTTCAAATGAAAACACCCCTTTTAAACTGTAAATTATACAGTGGGTAATTTTTTAGAAATTCTAAAAGAAGAATAAGAATCAAAATTCGTACGAGTAGTTTTTAAACAACTAAAGTTTGTAGTGCCACAGGACACTCCATAAATGCTACAAAAAAATTTAAGAATTTGAAAATATGGTCTTTTCGTTTATTTAAAAATTATAAAATCCAAATTTGAATAGTTTCATTATTTAAGGAAAAAATGGGCGTAATCATGCTTGGTAAACCAACCTGTATGTATATTTCTTGATTCAAAATGAAACTCTCAATTCAATCGATTATAACTTAAGGCTTTTAACGAACTATCATTCTTACACAATATGTACAATTAAGTAGCAAATAAATAACCTTTCTTTTGCATCTTTAATTTATTTCTATTATTCCATTAAAATATTAAAAATTATTGTCTATGATTTGTCTTTTAAATTAGGTGGCATGCAGAGCATTACCACCGATCAATGTGTAGAAAAAAAACATAATTTATATGAAGTGACTGCTTCTAACTATGACTGCATGGGATGAGGATATTATAATATTAATTTTTATGTTTTGCAGTTGTTCAATAACTATTTTGATACTTACGTATTGCTACTGCAACATTTCAAGTATGGATTTAATATTTTAACTTAATAGTATCTATTTATAATGTTAATATCGATATACACGGAATTATTTCCTAATCTAATGAATGATATCACAAATCACTATCTATATACGGAAAATTCCATTTTGATCCCAAAAGGTTCTTACAATTAAGAAGTAAACTGGTAGCCATAAAAGCTTTTCCCTAACAACGCAATTTGCAAACGGAGCGGATTTTACTCAAATCTTGAATGAGTGTATCAATTTACTATTTAAGAAGTGAACAAAACGAAATTTTGATTTCTTTTTTAATTCTCATTGGCCCCATACAAGTACAATAATTATTAGTCATCTAGTATAATGATGTAGTTTCTGTATATTCTAATTGTCTGTACATTCTAGAGTCATTGTCCTTTATATAGAGTACCTAAGGGTTGGGTTGCTAGGTTATTATAATTATATATATATATATTTTATTATTTTATGAATAATAAAAACATAATATAAGTCATTTGTTTGATTAATCAAGTGTCAAAAAATTAAAGTAATTATCCTAAACCTTTAAACATTTTACTATCAGAAATGAGTTGTATCAAAAAAACTGTATGATATTATGATTTGTTTGTATGTGAGAATAAAAAATACATAGTCTATTATATATTATATTGTATTATATTATATATTGTTCTCTATTTAATTATATTATTAACTAATAGTTAATTTTGTTATAGAACCTGAAGTATCGAATCCTTTGAATGAAATTCAAATGGATAATCGCAGACACTTAACTAGCATCAACAGTGACCAACAAAGTTGTTCGGCGACGTTCAATATTGTTTTAAATGGTTTGGAGTATGAAATCATGTATGATCCGTCGTATGGACAATCTCATCAGCCATGTAATTCTGCACAAACTGCTAGAACTAACGTTTCCACTCTACGAACCGCAAATGCCCCATTTCGTTCTGGCCTAAATTATGCGGAGCATAATACATCTAATGTAACCTCAAGTTCAAGATCGCCTCTAGATAATCCACCGCCTTCATATGACGAGTGTGTGGCGAGTTCACGTCTAACACCCCATATTACCATTGATTTACCAGTAACTTAGGAAGATATTGATTTTTAAATCAATTTATATCGACGATAATATGACGAGAAGTGAACAAGATTTTCAAACAACATTATCTGAACCCGTTAATTTATGCTCTGAAGTTTTGATATTGGATTTTTGTGTTCAATGATATAGGTACCTATTATACCAATATTAAATAATTATTGGTAGGTAGTATTTACTCTATTATGTTAACCAATAAATTATCGTATATTTTTTAAATTAGTAACTATGTGTTATCAATATTTAAACAAAAAGGAAATACTACGGACATGAAAACTTGGTTGAAACCACGGTAGATTATATAGTCTATATCTATCTGCCGTGGTTGAAACTAAATATAATTTTTCATTAACTGCAGACGTACGATGCCTTACATTTGTACATACCAACACACGAGGAAATTAGGTAGGTATGCAAATGTACAGCCTTTAAAAACTCATAATTTATGATAGATAATATTGTGTCCAATAAATATCAGATCGAATTTATAAAGTGGATGTTTAACCTCCACCCTGAATGTTATCAATATATTAGATAATAATATATTTATGAATTAATATAAATCAATCATATAAACGTAAATTGTACAACAAATATTGTTTTTCCTTCATAATCATAATCATTAGTGGATTAAGTAGGTATATTTTAATCCTCAAAACAATTAATTTAGTTTACTTAATAATAAACCATAATAGTAACTGTTGTAAAAAATATAGTAACAAATATAAAAGAATATTGTTTTATGTTTGTGTATCTGTAAAGGTATAAAGGATTGAGCTTAAAATGATATTATTATCTACCTTACTTTACGCTTTGGAAATGTTATTAATCGGGTTAAATAGAATATGTAGATCTACTTAAAGATATCTACGCATTTGAATAATCATGCCACTATAAATTGTTGCCGTGCTACACGGATTAACAGTATCTCCATACAACCAAAATGTTGGGAAGTCAACTGGCCAGGTTTAGATACATAATTGATCAGTGCACCAAGTATCAATTAACATACAGTCCTAAAATAAACGTTTATATACTAATTTTGTATCATAGGATTGATTTTATGAGTTTTAAAATATTTTCGTTTATTGCTTGACCATCAAAATTCATAATGGACTTATTTCTTACTTGATAGGCATTATCAGAAGCAAAATTACAGTTTATCCATTTCTAGGGAGATACTGATTTTTTCTTTAAAATTATATATCATATTTTATAAGGAAATGGAAACATCTAATAAGTAATTACCAACTTAGTTATTACTAGTAATTATTTAATTTAACTTATAATTTATTAGTGCAATACATTCGGTATATAATATTATTATATAGGTACAAATAAGTTGCAAACACTTTTGACCAAGTAACTACATTTTACTTCAACTAACAATCTCTAAAATAGTTTTTAAAATAATAAAAAATTATTCAACCAGATTGACATCTTTATAATAATAATTATCATTCAGTATATTAACACTTTTAATTTTCGTTATCATTGTATAAATCTGGTGTTTTCAAAGTATACGGAAAATCCACCTAGAATTGTTTCCTAGTTTCTGGTGTTAAAAGAAATGTTTTTATTATACTTTCCTTTTTGCTTGGATGCATATCAAGAACTCTTTGTTTGGTCTGGTTTAGAGTGTTTAGACATTATATTTTTAATGATGTTGTTTAAAAAAAAATTAAGTTTTGCAAATAGACAATATTCACTGTAGTCATTTAAGAATATAGTTCATCCCTCTTTCTGACTTTATATGAATAATGTCACTAAACATTGGTCATATATTTTCCTCGTTAAATTTGTTAACAGAACATTCAGATTTCCAATCATAGATGTCTTTAAGAGCCATTCTTCTCTTTGCATCTACATGTCCACTATTGTATTTATGATGAAATCATATACTTAACTATTATTTTTTTTAATGTTGACTCGACTTAGTGATGGAGACACGAATGAGCGTCCAAACTCAAAGGAAAACAAATTAATTTCAGTTCTTTCGATTTCATTTGAATTAATAACATGCATCAAGAATGTCAGTACTCAGAAGGCACTAATTTTTATTTTATGTTGCATAGTTATCCAGCCATATTGAAATATTATTAACATCTTCATTGAATAAAAGAAACTAAAAAAAAACAACTTGTCAAATCCTCCTGTTTTCCTCCAGACACACCTTTTATCATATGATAACCAAAGGTTTTATTTTATTTTTATAAGGTCGAATTATGCGAAAATGAGATTTCAGCAGAAGCGTAGCCAGGATTTTGTTATGCGGGGAGGGGGAGGGCGGCTAAACACTTTTAACTCATGTTATTTAAAATTAAAAACAACAAAAAAATTAATAAAAACTTTTCATAGTACATTTTTAATTCAAATATTCTATTATACGACTAATACCAAGAAATTAACAATGCTATATTTTACTGACGCCATTCTCCTGGGAGTATTTCGGGAAAATAATGAAATCACATAATTTTCTTTAATATTTCCATTTTTGTTTATATTTACCTTAGCTAATCCATTAAGTCTTTTTTCTGATATCGTGTATCGTAATTAAGTTTTCATGCTAGTGAATGTAGAAAATGTCCTTTCAGGAGTGGACGAAGTTACTGGCAAAGTTGTAAATAATTGCAAGAGAAATTCTTATTGGTTTGTAGATTGGTACAGTGAGAAAGTGATTATATAGTAGACCTTGGTTTTGGTAACTTATTTTGTTTCCATTGTTCCCCCCCCCCCCATATAAACAGGTATTATCAAACATGGTAACATGATGTTGTTAACTGTAGTTGTTCTATGAACGTGATAAGAAATTATATGACATTTTATCGATAGCCAGCTGGTTTAAACGTATTTATCTAGAATTCTAGAACATGGTTTCTTAAGAAATAATTAATTTCATATCATGGTTTGATAACTGAAAAAAAATACTGATAACATATATTAACGTTGATTTGCGTTAATGTAATTACTATTTTAAATATTTAAAATTTGTAAGACAATTTCCATATTTTAATTTAAATATTTCAAACCAATATAAAACATACGGCCAATGGGTGGAGGGGGCGGCTATAGCCCCTTTAGCCCCCCTTGGTTACGCAACTGGATATCAGCCCTGTAAAAAAAAACAATATGAGATAGTATCACTAAGAAAGTTAATTATGAAAATAATGTATACTACATACAAAAAGTTGAGAAGTCACTAAGTCAGGCAATGCAATGCAATGCTCCCTAATTTCGGTTAATGTAAACAAAAAGAGTCGAAATATTTTGGAAATTATATCATGTATTGATAATGCTAAATAATTGCTAACATAAACATTTGGTAAAAACTCCAAGTATTCAGCTTGATGGCTGATGAATTTTTATTGACTATAGGCACCTATCAGAAATGTTCGTCAATATTTATAAAACTATAAAAATGTAGTTATTACGTAATAACGATAATAATTAACAATTAAATTTGTATTTGAATTTAAAATTTAAATCATTTGTAGCACACGTAATGCTCCAAGCATGCTTACGTTAAAAACTGTTGATAAAAACATAGGTACAATACGACAAAAAAATTTCTTCATTACAGCTGTATTTCCACTCCCCTACTACAATTACTAATTATTATTATTATTATTACTATTATTAATATCGTATTACCTGTCACCGACGTTCGACGATATACTTTAGTACGCACTCAGTACATTTCGAGACCGAAAGGTTCCGCAGATTATATCAATAATTATGTCGATATATTAATTGTGCACGTTTTGTACGATGTACCATGTATTAATTCTGTACACACTAGTTTTATGAACGTTTTACAATATTATAATAATTATTGTGATGGATTCGTTACCTAAGATCTTCCTTCACGTAAGTTTTAAAACTCGTCTTTTAATACCTAATTAATGTTAAATTACATTTCGTATTAATGTAAATAATGTTTCATGTTTTCTTATTCACTTATAATCAATTTTAAATATTATTGTTATTGGAACAAAAACAAAATATTAAATATTAATGATAGAATTATAATAATAAGTATAATATCTAGGTATATTTCCAAATTATTTCGATATGAATTAGTGGAAACAATTGGGTATCAGGTGACCTTTATATTGGTGCGAACCGAGCACAGATCATAATCATTTTCAAATATAATATTATTTGTCATTTATTTAAAATTCAAAATACATTCCAAACAACAAGGTCCAAAATTAATGTATTTTATTTTTATTTTCAATTGGACCTATATCAAATTGTTTGATGGAAATTTTAGTTATCTTTATTATATTATATCAAACTATGCATCATAATCGAATCATATTAGAGTAAAATGTTTTTAGATGTCGTAGTGGAATCTAATTAAAATATTATTTGTTTATGAATAAAAATTGCAGGTTAGTTAAACACATAAACATTTTATAAGCCAGTGGTGTATGTCTTTTCAATCGAATATGAGTATTTTTTTTATTTTATTGATACTAGGATGGAGTCAGATATCAGGTAAGAAATATCACACCAATAAAATATAACATTTTTTATTTTTAAACTCATTTTTTTCTCTAGGTAATTATGCCATTGCCTTGTTTATAGTTGACGATAACGAAAACATGTTTACAATGAATAACGAGTCGTGTATATCTTGTATTTGTAAACCTATGGCCAAAAATTGCAATGAAGTATGTATAATAACGGCAGACAAATATGTTTGAATTTATTTGATTAGATTTATTTAATAATAGTTAGTTTTTATTTTTAAAATAGACATAATTATTATGATACGTTCATTACAACCTAGCGGTGTACCAATTACAATTTTGAAACAGATAAATAACTATACACTTATTTTGAAGTAAATACGACTCAATAATACGAATATCAATAATTCAATATACAAGATACGGAAAAGTTGAGATACAAATTTATTTTCATGTTTTTTAAATAACTAAAAAAATGAGACATTATAATTGCAAAATACTTATTTAAAAACGCAATTGCAATTTATTTGAAAATTATCACAAATATCAATCTTACATTACACATGTACTATTCGTTAAAAATGTTAAAAAAAATCATTTATGTATTATATAATATAAATTCTTAACAATATTACTATTCATTGAGTGTTCTAAACTTACAACATTTTTTTAAAGTCTTGTAATAAAAACATATTATAGTAAGACGAATGGCTGGTAATTTGGCCACATTTTGTCGATCTACTTCGTGTACAGTATTTGCTTACATTTTATTGACCTTGGGTCTTGGGCCACAAATTAAATATTTTATTTTAATGGGTACACGGACTTTCGGCTAAAGATGTATAATACGAAAAAATACAAACATATAACATTTATTAATTCCAGTTAGGTTATATAGCAGTATAATCATTTTTTTTTAAATAAATATAAAACTATCTTCATAAAATTATTCAAATAATAATAATTTTGTTTTCACAAATTCAAACCGGGTTTCCTTTTTTCTGTATTTTTTAATTTCATTAACAATATAGTTATTTCAAATTCAAGTTCATTTTCTGCCTCATCATGTTAATACACTATAACCTCTAATTTGAATGCAAACTTCTGCTTGTTGTTCTTCTAACCGGATTAAATAATAAAAAACAGATTAAAATACTGACCCAATCTCCGGGTCTACCAACTCTATACCTGTTTTGTAAAACTTAAGAATGATCCGATTCCAGGACGTCCTATAATTTATGTTGTTAACTTACTCGTTATTCTTTAAAATAAATGAGCTTATTTAAAAAAAATCAACTACCTAATCTATAGACTAAAGTATAATTTTATTTTCAGCAAATACGCATTTAAAGTCTATAGTTATAATAATCGATTCAAAATGCATATTTGCTGAAAATAATATGTAATAATTTGTAGATTTTTATGAAGTTTCTACAGGTGTTTACTAAATTTAAATCTAGGAAGTGTGCACAGATCCAACAAGTATTAATTTATGCAAAAATAAAACTTATCAAGCGAATACTGAATTTAGTGCTCCGGACACATCGTTTAGTTTGCGCAATATTGGATTTATATTCAAAATGTTTATATGCATGTGTATAATGTATTTGTTTATAATACACGCATCTGGAGATTGTTTCGAATCAAGTATGATTAATATTTTTATTTTACACTACAAAATTACTATAAGATATAATAATATCTATAATATTGAAATAGTTTCTGAAATAATAGTTTAGAATATTATATTTGATATAAAAAATAATATTTATTAACAAATATCAAATTTTTTTAATTACAGAACAATCATAGGCGCAATTAGGAGGGTTTTGAGGGTGGGGTTTAGCCTCCCAGTTTTATCCGTATCCCCCTCAGTTTTTTAATCATATTTTAGTTTTAAATATTAATTATCAGAGTTATATTTCCACAAGACACTCCTCATAAGTATCTGTATGCAAAAAATATCAAGAATTTGAAGTGTGGTCTTAATATTCAAAAATTCCAAATATCTGATTTTGACTACCCGCTGTATGCATTATTGGAGTAAAGATGGCACCACCCCTTGGTGAATTAACTTTTTTACACAAATATACGGTATTAGGTATACCTACTATATGATGTATACCTACCTGTATGTAAAAATGACTATGTATATGTTATGTACATAATTCCATAAATCTACGTATAATATTTTTTTTCACCGTATAGGATCTACAAGGAGAATACTTCCAAGTCTAAATCAAATTCTTTCAGATGACGGTCTACCGTCCACTAACAGCGACGACCGAAGTTGTATAATGCCGTTGAACGTCCATTCGGGACACGACAACGACATTGATGACCCGCCTCCTTCGTACGACGATACGATAATCACCAGGACACCCGTCGCAAGTCCTGGGTGCACGGCACAGGGACCAGTGCACAGTCCTGATTTAAATCACTTCGAGCTCAACGCTTTTAACGGCTACGACGACGGTTCGTTTTCGGCGTCCCCGTTCGACGAGCCACCGCCGTCGTACGACGAGTTTTTGGCGACCTTCAATCGTTCGAAACCCTCGCAGGTTCACACTTATTTACTGCCGAACAGTGCCGACGATCATATCTTGTACATGACTATACCGGTCGGTGCGATAGAAACCGTTCGAGATTCGCAAACGACATTCGCATCGGAAACCGAAATGTTATGCACTCAGGTCTGATGTACCTGCCATACATTATAATATAGTCGACCTGTCGGATCCACCGGAGGTGTGTCACTTTTTTACAAACGAAGAACTTTTCATAGCTCTACGTTACAGGTTAGACCATGACTTTGGCAATAGGGGTACTGGTTTAATTCACGTGTATTATTATTATTATTATTATTATATTAATATTTCTTTGTGAAAATCTGTTTGGTCCAGTGAAATCGCTCTATATTTTCATAAAGCTTTGAAATCGAACATGTCCAGTAATTTTTGATTAACTACGGTTCAAAAAAACATTTTCAAATCGTTTCTACTTTATGTTATTCCTTAGTGACTTTGTAGTTTTTTTTTTTATTGTATTGTTTTAAAAAAATATTTCATATTTCAATTTTTAAAAACCAATACACAATACAGAATTGGTATTTTAACATTATTTTTTAAATAAATGTTTAAGCGATTTTTAAAATAATTTTATATTGTAAGTTTGACACTAAAACTAGCATTTAAAAATTCAGAAAATGGTGGTTTTCAATAATTATATTAATTATAATATTATTAATGTTTATATGTATTTAAATAATTTACAATTATCACTTAAATATTGAAAGAAGAAGTTTGGTAACCAACAACAATGTATATTATGTATAATGTATATATTATATTTCCATGACCTATGTGATATTATGAATATCTTACATAAAATAAACTTCCAAAAAATAATTAGTCGGTTATCACAGATGTACAGAACTAATTATAATTTATAAGTTATAACGATTTTACGAAGTACAGTATTGTTCTCTATATTGGACAATATATTATGGCCAATCATTTAAAACGTACTGAAAAACATTGGTATATTTTATTTATTTTAAATGTATTATATTTATGTTCATAAACTTAAATACCTAATTTGCACAATGTATCGATGTTTTTTTTTGTTTTTGTAACAGTTGCACCCAGCTTATCTGTTCAGGGTAAATTGTATTTGTTTACTTTATTTTATTTAAGGCTTAAAGTTTTATCATGTGAATTTTCGTGTTTAAAGTGTTAAAATATTTTGTAACGATACCACCGATATCTGACAACTGAAATAGTGATCTTATCTCTTTGTGATGTTAAGTTGAATAATTTTGTTCGAAAATGAAATAAAATGAATTTTTTTTTTATCTAATACCAGTCTAAGCCTATGAGAGTATTTTACATTTTTATTCACATCAATAATATACTAAAATAAAATCTATATAATTTGATTGTATATAATATATGTAAGCCCATAAGGCCATATCCAATATAACTCTACAGTTGAGACTTGAGAGTAGGGTAGACAACTGACGAGTTTGATGATGATAAAATTATATTGGTACTTTTTGGCGTTTCGATTCAGCTTTAAACACTGTAAAAACAGATTGTTCGCCCCCTGATAAAAAACAGTTTTGTTTGTACCTATCTAAGCCTCGAAAATGCAATGATTACTTAAAATAGACAAATACCTATACGATGGTATTTGGCAGAGAGGAAATAATTTAATAATTATGACTTATATGAGCCACAGCTCTCTGCAATGAAGGGCAACAAATGTTAACATTAATTTCTGGCTAAATTCCCAGTCAATATTTTTGAAGCAATTTTTTTACGAAAACATTTTAGAATCGACTTTCAAGTATTTGTTCAATTTCCTAGTAATGTTCTATAATGAATCCACTTATTTGTAATTTCATTTTGTGATAACTTGAAACTATACCTAGGTATTTAAAGTATTTAATTTATATTTGATACTCAAATGCATGTACAACGTACATTACGTATATGCACATAACACGTATAAGGTTTTTTTTTAATTTCAACTTGATATTAATTAACACGTAATATTAAATATATATATATTTTTTAGGGCGAAAACTGCTCGATTATTAGCCGGCATTACATTTTTAATATTATAAATTGTTATTATTACATACATAAATAAACTGCATTCAATTAAATCAATACGAATTATATACACTCACGATAAAAATAACAAATTGTTGTTTGAAATCTAAATTCCTAGATTATTTTAACCTAATCGGAATTTGAAAAATATATCAAATAACAGATTATACACATTCACTAAGTGTGTACGTTATACCGATATTCTTACCAATAAATCAATTGTAGGGGAAATTATTGTGACTCTAATCTAAAGTCACGTAATGCTTTAGGTATTTAGGCATGCTTGTCGCTCATAACACTAGTAAAAATCCTATTAATAATCAGGTACAATGAACAGATTAATATCATGTAAAAAATTATACACATTTTACATTATTCAGATTACTACTGTATACACAATATACTTTTAATCGGTGTATGGGAATTGGAAACGGTACGCGAAATTGTGAACAGTTCAACAGTATATTTTATACATTAAAGAGATTCTGTTTACAGTGCATCTGGTAGCTTCATAAATATGTGCTTCCATATTTTATAGAACATTTCATTTTCTTACACTCTCGACAGATGTCCAACTTAATTAAGTGATTAACGATTTTTTTATATATTTTAGTTTTTCGCCTCACTAATATTTGTATGACCAATAATATATTTTGTTTTTGTTTTTTTTTCTATAAGATATCCTATCTCTTTTTTTTTTTTTCGATCTTCTTAATAACATACAAAATTACAATACTATGCTAATCGTAAACACCTTCCTACTGTAATTCGTATATTATTATGATAATAATATATTTATAGCTATACACAAATGAGGTGTAGATATATTTTAATAAATTATCACTCATCTTGTATTTACAAACGAAGAGATCTATTTAACGTAAGATACTCGTTATTTCAGAAAATAACATTTGAAAATATTCCTCTTGCATAATTTTAGGTTACAAAACAAATTTTTTTTATTATTTTTAATCGTTCTTATTTTTTACGTTTTTAGTTTGCGGATGACAGCTCAGATTTTTAATTTCATAATCTAAAGCAGAATATTATTCGAAGTATTTCGATCCATAAAAATCAATTTTTGGTCATGCAGTTTATTAGTTATAATAGTACTTAAAGTTTATATTGAGTGGAATGGAGTGGTAGACCAACATTTTGTGGTGTGCCCCAGGTACCACTCCACTCCGCTTACCAAAACGTTAATTACCTACTTATAACTCATAAACTAGGTAGATACTCATCAAAAATTCGAATATTTATAATATCGGTCTCCATTTAATAATCCTCTTTAAACTCTTAAAATATGGGAGATAAACACAGAAAGTACTTATAGGATAAAGAGTAAATGAGCATTTTCATTTAAGTAGTAATTATTTTTTTATTTTTTCCAATTATTCATTCCATTATTCATTATTCTCAAGATATTCATTAAAATACTATATTTAATTATTTATATTATGCAAAATAGCACCATATTGCCAATTATACGGGCTATAACTCATGCATTCACCCATCATTTTAAATGTCATGATTCATATGCATGCATATCTACAGAAAGATTGTTTTTTTCGTACAAAATTAACTTTTTAAACGTGAAATATCTTTTATTCAATTTACTAGACCTAAGCATCAAATAAAGGTATTTATTTTTGTAAATTAATGATAAATTGCTCATAATTCTGACTAAGATCACATACATTTTAAGTTAAAAAATACATCAATCTGTACACAGTGCACGCTCAACAAATATAATATGTATAATTACCTACACACAAATATATTGATTTGACACGATATATGCTTGTAAAACTAATAACTATATTATATGGGATATTAACAGTTATCAGATATAAATGATAATATGAAGAAATATTATTCTATAATTGTAACACTGTTAATTTTTCTATTAAAATGTAAAATATTATTAAATACATTGTTAGGTTGTAGATACTGTTAAAGTAAGTAAAATGCATTGTCATGTAATGCAGACTATAATATACATTCTTATATTTTGTCATATATTATATGGGTTCAGGCACATTATGATTCTTAACATATTGTTATACCAACTCTTTAAAAATTACTGTAAAAAGCTTAGTTGAGTTTTAGTCAAAAAAACTAAATTTATTTATAGTAATGTATTAGTATTATGTATATCGTGAATTAAATGTAAGTACCTAACTATATAGTCTATAGCTGCTAACCTTAATATTTTAAAAATGTTTTAATCTGCAACATGTAAATACAAAAGTAATGTAGTAATTATTACAAAACCAAATATTTTTCATGAATATAGTTCTAGATATCACAACAAAAATATTAATACCTACGCATACTGTCAAATTTAATGAACATTAAAAAGTTTAATTTCTCTAACTATTCAGGTTTGTAAAATTCTTAAAATGAATACTGTATTAGAGGAACATAATATAAGTTTTAATAATATTCAATGCTTTCAAACTATAATAAGAAGTTTTGATATTAATTGAGCAGAAATTGTATGATCTCCGTAAATGTAAAATATGATACCTTTAGGAACTTTCTTTAATATCCCCCCCATAAAGCTCAACATAGTGTTGCAAATTACTAGTATATATACTTTTATTTTATTTATAATGTTTAAGTAAATTCATACCTACTGGCTGCTACTTTATATCCGTAGCTTAATAATATATATTTTGAAAATTATTCACTAAATAACAAAAAACAAATAAATCATTATTGTTGGGTATACCGTTTCGGTATAACATGTATACGAGCATGCGGCACGCGGGAAGTTTAGCCAGCTTAGGATTCCTGACAGCCGTTGAAAAATGGTAGGGGGGGGGAGAGAGAGGCAAAAACGGAGGCATGCGGACTTATCCCCCTTCCCCTTTATCACCGGAGCCTGCTGCAACAGCGCCGGATTCGTTTAGTCATACCTATCCGATGTTTAATAATAATAATAGTAATTATGATGACGATGATGATGACTTGAGCGCAGTTTATAATCCGAGTACGCGACACGGGATCGGATAACGCGGTCCGGTCGTCGTGTCCGCCATACGATGCACAGTGCACACGTTAATAATAAATAATAATAACATATCAATTAATACGTCACGTGTTTCCTAAAGAGGATTTGTCTGGACGGCCATTACCCACCGCCGCCGAGAACCCGTAAAAGTGACCAAACACGGTGATATGTATAATATCCAACTATAATAATGATATACTCGTGACGAAGGCGGTCGAGGGGATAGGTTTATGCACTTCTCGTAAAAAATATAAAAAAAATAATAATAATGTATTAATGTATTATTTATACCATTATACACCATAACAGTGCACATGGCGTGCGTGTACATTACGGTATAAACCATACTATATATTATGTATAAACCACCTAAAGGGTGACCATGATCATTGATCAACGATTGATAGGTTTAGTATATCGACTGTGGAAGAGCAGAAACTGGAGATGAATAGTAATATTATTATTGTT